TGCCTCCCCCTCTACCCCACAAACCCTCCCTCCATCACCACACACACACAAACATCACACACTCATCCCAAACCCCTCCTTCTTTTTCTCCTTCTATCTCGCGGTTATTTCACCCTCACAGTAACCTTGCTTATGCATATTGCATATGTAAATAAAGCACCCCGCCTCTGAAGTAATTGTGTGCATCTTCCACAGAGCTGCAGATCTCAGCTCTGTGTTTAAGAGGATGCACTTTAGAAAGACTGACTTCTCTTTGTTAAGCAGGTGATTCCTTTTTGTTTGGACTCATCCACAAACTCCACAACTATAGATTTATTGATTTAAAAAAAGAGCTTGAAGTACAATTTTTACAACTCCCAATTTGTTATTGTCATTAAGGAGCTGGTTATGGGTGGATTGAGTCCTTTGAGTAGGATCACTCACATATATCATTTTGCCTACAATTCTTCATCAACACAAGTAGTGTGATGTAACTTTACCATCAGGTTGAATATTATGAATAATTATATCTTATGTATTTTACATGAGAATATCTACCTTGCTTGTCATATTACACATGGCATCTTCCATCATTAATGTGTATTTCAGTTCATAAAATCCATAATTAACATAATAAACTACCAAATATAATTATATCAAAGTTACAGTGTTTTCTTTTTCCTCCTAACACAGTTATTTGTCTCAAGAGAAAGACATTAACAACATCTGTTTCCAATGCTGGCAGTTTAATGCCCTTAAAAAGGTGCAGGTAGGAAATGTGCTACGTACATAAACTCAATTTAACCTTAAATAGGTTCACATATGCCTTAATATTATTAACGATGTCTTAAAATGGCTTTGCCTTTGTCAGTTGGTTTATGTGTAAATAAAGACTTACTTTATCTTTTCTCAAGCGCAGACACCCAAGGTAAATAGGATCAAAAGTTTAACTAATGGATGTATCATTTAAAAATACTTTTATTTGTAATGTTGTGTGTACATATGCAAAGTAGGCATTATTTTATAAAAAAAGCTATTAATTTGCATACCTTTCCAAAACAGAAATCTCAACCAGTCAGGTTAAAAATGATTTGAACTTAGTTTTGACATATAACACTCAACATGTTTTACATAGGTAATTTTAGATAACTCATGGGGATGACATTGTAAAGTTGGCTGTATCTAAGTGTGGGGGGTTGGAGTTTAGAGTATGAGAACAAATCTAATCTGAGAAAAAAGCCTCTCAAGATGCTTTGTGAAATTGCATACACTTTGCAAAGTGATATAGTTGAATAGAGTAAAATAATGTATATGTAACAATTACACTTTCCCAAGTTTTCTGAAAAGTATTGTTTAAATATGTAAATACAGCATTATGCTACATTTAGGTAAATATAATAAAACGTTTGCAGATTCAAATAGTCAAAATGAGGCAAAATAAACACCTTTTATCTATCAGGAATGCTCTGCAACAAAAGATATAGAACTCTATAATCAATAATGCAGTATCTAGAGAACAGCAATACCTACCTTCCTTTCTTTTTTTACATATACTTTATTATTTGTTAACTCAACCCAGTGGTATTCTGAGGGTGTTTCTGATATGGTCCATATTATTTTGAAATCTGAAGGAAAAAACATGACGCAAAAAGTAGAATTGTTCAAAAGGTACTTCTTTGGTAATTTCAAGTATATCTGATATCTAAATTGTAGCATACTTTATCTAATATAAAAAATAGAAGTGTATATGTCTTTTGCATTTCTGTATGTTTCTTTGTGAAAACCTAACTCCCTCTGGGACACTAAGACGTTAAGGTTAAAGTTAAATCACCATCTTAGTTTAAGGTTAGCTGTAAATTGTATTGCAGCAAAGAGAAAATGAATAATTAAGAACATACTGCTGTTAAATCAAAGAACATCAGATTTTCTAGAGTTTGGATGTCCATATTTATATCAGAGATTAAGAGCCTCAAGTTTGATATTACAAAAAACAGAGCATCAAGAACATTTAAATGATCAAAGACTGTTTCAGCATCAGAGTTTGGGCATTACAGATCATGAGCCAAAGGCAAAAATGACATGTTTAAGTAACTGCAGAATGCACAATTTGAGTTTAATAAAAAAGATATCTAAGAAATACATCTGTTATTACTTGTATCTGTGATTGCAGGTTTAAACCTCTAACAGAGCAATTTTCACAACATTTAACCTAAGTATGCCACCTTGACTTCTTCACAATGTGTCCTTTATGCACATAGAGGTCAAAACAATCAGGAGAACACTAAACTCTTTTATTTGTATTACTATACTGTGTGTACTTTTGCAAACCAGCAAAGCCATCACTGTCTTATGATCTTTAAGATTACTCAAATCAACATGAGTGTGTGCGTGTCTTCATACCTGATTCTAGGTCCATTTGACATTTGCTCTGACCTTTGGGTCTGTCTCTCACAGATTGTAGGTTGCGGTTTCTCTCCAGTGATGCTCAATAAACTGTTTGTTACGGTTTAATTTCCTCCAATTTGACATTTTGGCACCTACCTTCTTTCCCCCCCACTTGCTTCTCTGGCATTGCCATTTAGCCATCCATAATAATTGTTGCCCTCAAGGTAACAAATATGTATTTTTGTAGTTGTTTTCTATTTAGGTTGCTGCTATAATTGGAAAAAGACAGAGCGAGCATTTTCACAGTTATATTTGAAATGTCATATACAAACTCTTGTGTTCTACAATATTCTTTACTATACTTACCTTTTCTACACTATGTCATCTTTGTAACCAAAAACCTAATCACATACTGTATAGTCAAGGCAGTGTGACTTGGACAAAGGGATGATTGGTGATTGTTTGCAAATGTTGTATAACAGCATGGAGAAAAGCAATTCAGTACAGTAAATCATTACATTAAGTGTATCTACTTGATCTTCCCCTAATTATTTAATAGAATCAAGGATACTTGCATTTGATTATTCTAATGCATTCAGTTCTATACAAATTCCTGAGCTACAGCATAACATACAATGCTTGCATACCGTAGCCCTGCTGTACAATAAAAAAGGATATCAATCTGCTCCCAGCCACTTAAACCATATTCCAGGGAGAGCACACATGTCAAACTCCAATTTACTCCATTATCAGAGCATGATAACCATAATAGTGGCTGTCCTCCTGATTCACGTATCTGGCAGGAAATCAAAGTCATATCCAGGTGTTCAGTATGATGTCAGCCATCTGTGTGTGTACACACAAACAGATGTGGGGCATGGATGACAGATAATCCGTCTACAAAGAGCTTTTACCTCACACATCTGAGAACGGTGACAGTATTTCTATTATCAGAGGCAGGCCCGATGACATCATTGTCGGGTACAGACAGCCCATTCATAATTGCGTATTTGTACATTAACCTATGTACTGCATGTATATATTTAATTTCGGTTTTGGAGGAAATGTCTGTTTAACTAAGTATAGTAAACCGTTATAATATAGTAAAGTACATATAGTACAGTGAAGGCTTTTAAAGTACACCATAGTAACATATGTAGAAATGAATGTCAATATGTTATTTTCCATTGTAAGGGTTTATGCTTCTTAGTGAGTGTGTATATATTTACTTAACTTTTGAGGAAATATCTTTATTAGTAAAGTACAACGTTATAGTATAGTACAGTATAGTACAGGCTTTTGTAGTACACATTGGTTAGTATTGTTTAGAAATGAAACAAAATCTTCTGTTGTTAGGGTTTATGCTTGTTATTGAGAGCGTATATATTTACTTTTGAAGAATTATATTACTTTTATTACTTATCATAGTATCCAGTCATATATAGTATTACGATACAGTATATAGAAGGTTTTGTATAGAAGTTAATTGGTGAAGTGATTGCAGTCAGGAGCTATGGCGCCTGCTTCATGTATCAGTCATTCAGGGGATCTGAGGAAAGTTGAAAAATGTTTTGAAATGTTGAAGTTTGGGATTCAAAACTGCCATTCTAGTTCGCAATTATGCTGGTTTCTTGATTATCTATTGTTTATACTCATTGCACTTATAATATCCTTTTCGTTTTAAGATGTGTTGGTGACATATTTTATTTGGTCTTTCTGTCATTTATGGATTTACTTTATCTTTGTACAAAAAGAGCTCTATTAATACACTCATTTTAGCAATGTATTTGACTGTACTTTTTGTTATTAACTGTACTGTATATGTCTCAGTTCTGTGCTATCACTCTCTGCTCTTCTGTATTGTATTTCTGTCTATTGTGTTATATTGTTCCATAGCCTTTATTCAATTCTAACACTCTCACTGCTATATATTCCATTCTCTTCTTCTGTGTTTTATGACTCTCCGTTAGGTTTTTGATCTGGTTATTCTCTATTCCATTCAACTCTTTACAATTTGGTATGGTCTATAATTATACTGTAGTCATTTACTACAGGCCTATCAACTCATCATTTTCTATTCTGTTCTATTCTAGTCTGTATTGTATACTACCTTTTTACTTCTTATATTTTTCTCTTGTATGATGGCCGCTTCTTCTAATTTAATCTTTACCACATTTATTTTAAGAAATAACTCATATCTTGCATTATATTACTCTCTTTTACATTCTACTAATCTGAACGATGTTCTATTATATACTCTCTACTGTATTATATAATACTCTAATATAATAACTTATTATTATATCTTAATGTTATAACTCTCTGTCTACTCTAATCTATTATATTTCTCTGTAATATGTTCTATTCTATTGCAATTTCTATTATTTTCCACTCCTCTCTTTCTGTTCTAAGGTTATACTTTCTTCTTTTCTATATGAACAATACTTGTGATGATTTTAGTCCGCACTGAGAGTTAAAGAACATATTTAGAGAAATGCAGCATGCCCTCTCCTACCTGCATTCTGAATGAGGCAAGTAGTGATATTTGCGTATAACAGAAGCACCGCCTCCCTCCCATTGGACAATGTCTACATGAGGGCGTGGCAAGGAAAGATGAGAGTTGAAAATCCATGCCCCTACTGGGAAGACATGGAGAGCTATGGACACAGTCTACACGAATCCAGTAGGAATCTCAACTAAAGCCTCACGTATTTCTTCAGTGAAGAACCAAACGATTTGAGAGACTGAGAGAAAAGAACGGCTGGCCCGGTTGAGGATGGAGTGTGCATTTGAGGCACAGAATCTGATCTCTATTTCTTTGAGGAAAATCCAAAGCTCCAGGACGCAGAGAGGAGGCATCAAGCTCCACAAGAACTTACTGGTAACGTACGTACTGAGAAACGCCAGGCAGTTATATGTGAGCAAAAACTTACAAACGCAGAGGACGCATCAATATGAGGATGTAGCTGCAGTCCGTGAAAGGCAAGAATATTTTGAGCTGACTGGGAGCTTAACGGAGTTGTCCGATGACTTCTACTGCAACTTTACTGGGGTTGAGTCGGACACTTGGCAATGCGGAGCGCACCAGCACAACGGCCAGCCTGCAGAGGTGGCGCACCAAGACGCATCAGCCTGCGCAATGCTTTCGCCAAGTGACTCTGACCTCATGGTTTCGGACGCCTGTTGGAGTTGTGCAGACAAATCCCCCTGGGAGTTACCTATCCAAAACGCACAAGCCAACCAAAAGACTGTCCTGGACTTGGACACGCATGTGGTGACTACTGTCACGAATGGATACTTCCACTCAGACTGTTGCGCGCAGTCAAAACAGCCGCAGGGCGCGCAGTGCTACGCTAAAAAGCGAAAGATGGACACAAGTTATCATATTGTTGACCCAGAGTTTTATTTGCCAGACTTTGAGCTAGTGCCATGTAAAAGGATGAGAACTGATGATGAGTTACATTCAGACTCGGAGCAGTTGGACAGCACAAACATATCCAACCTAATCTCAGTGTTGGGTTCAGGTGGACTATCTGAGTTTGTGAGTTGGCAGCAGACGGACCTTGAGCAAATATTCGCAGCCCAAACAATTTGTTTAAAACATACACTGTTAACAGGCAGCGGTTGGACAAGAGCAATCGAAGCCTTTTGATTTGTATGATTGTTTTTTCTTTGTATCGATTTATTTTTATTGCTTTCAAATAAACCATGACACGAATGCAATTCTCTCTCTCATGTGTTATTGAAAAATGTTTCTGAAATGTGCTTATACAGAGCATTCATATCATTTCGAACTACTTTTATTTTCTATTAATATTTCTCGTGCCTATTGATACAGTTTCCTTACCCAGTGTAACTTAATTGCACCTTTCATTTAAATATTTATTTTCTGGTGATTCGTTTGAGAAACTGGAGTCTGTATTTGGTTTGCATTTCCTGAAGAAATTAGTTCATGCTGCTTCTTTTGCAAGCATGTTGGCATGTTGGAAGAGCTCCATCATGTGGCTGGTTAAGATATGTACAGCCTCATGCACCAGATCAACAAAGCATTGCATATCATTCTGTAAATGTTTTATTTATATCTGGTCCTTATTTTATTAATACATTTAGCTAACATACGTTTAAAACACTAATGCATTGGTTCTAAATCTGAACTTCAAATCCTGCAAAAGTATACGACATTATAAGAGTGCACACCAGTGGTGTTATGAAAGATAGGCAGGCTATGGGGTTTTAAATGACCTTGTATTTTTTTCCCCATCAATATCATTTAACCAGTAATTTGGGATTTCATCTAACGTAATAATGTATCCATTATCCTACTATTTATTTAACTTAATAAAAAATGATGACGGAATGAGACAGTCATTGCTTAAAAAAAATGTGCAAAACATTTGAAAAACGACATGCACGCACAATAAACTCCACTAGGAAAAGCAGCACTTTAGTGGAGAGCTCGCAGTTGTCTGCTCGCAGGGTCTAGGGGGGCGGACAGCTGAGAATACACAGAGTGCTTGTCCTTGAGACATGCCTGCCCGAGGGTCTCTCATCTTTATTCCCGGGACAGCCTTATACCTTTAACAAGTCTGTTTGACAAGATGTTGGGTGTTTTTGTCAAGGCTGCGGTGAGTCTATTGTTATATTAGTCTTTATGTATTTTAGCTATGTAATAACAAACGCAGTAACGTTACGTTTCGCTTTACGGCAATAGAACGAGTGAAGGGGTGGGGCGCTGTTCAGAACTACAACACTGGGATATTAAGGTTAAAATGTAAATGTTTCTCGACTGTGGGCTGTCAGAATTGGTGGTACGCTACTTGTTATTTAAAATAGGGTTCACTTAATTTACGAGCCCCGCACTGTGAATGTAAACGTACATTAGCCTAGCTTAGCAGATAGCATAACATATAACATACTACGCATGCTGCAATAAAGGTCAACGAAATGGTCTATCAGTAGCTTAGTTAGCTGTATTACTGAGTCGTTCATGTATTATTAATCTCTCTTCATTATTTGTTTTGGCATGATTCACCTAATACACAACAAGTCTGTCTTCGACTTTCGGAGGTCATAGCCATTTATTTTGAAAGAGTCTACCGGAAGTTCAGTGCCTTTAGCATGCAAACATCAAAACCAGTTATCATACTTATGAATTAATTTGAATCTCCACTGTTATTTGATTTTCGTTGTAGGAATAAGAACATATTTCAGAAAAAAACATTTTGAAGATTTTTCATTTTCTGCTATTTTATACTTCAGCTTCCAGAGGCAAACATTGTAAAAACATTGACTAATAATTAGGTCACTATGCTGATTCGATTAATAGCATACATAAGTAATAGTTGATATGGTTTAATATAAACGTTATGATACCTTAAAAGCTACCTAGCAGAATATAAAGTATTTAAAAGTTGCTCTTTTACCAGCTCATTAACATGATGAACACATACATGCATCAATAACAATTATCCCATAATATAATACCTCTAGTGCAGAATGTAGCTACACTTTTTGTACTTAACAAAAACTTGTACTTATAACTAACACTTTTAAGTACAATTTATTACGGCTACTTAAATAAAAAATCAATGTACATGTATAAACCAAATGTACCTTCACCAACATTTATCTTCAAATCTTATCACAATTGTTTCACATAAAAACGAGAATACTAGTGATCACAGATATATTTCTTGTTTTCATGTGTGTTGGTTTTAGCTACCATTTCCAAGGTTCAACTGTATCAACCTTCTATTTATAAGTTGGAAAAGCACCAGTGGGTCAAAACAAATAGTTTGACTGCTTTGCTCAGTTGTTTTGGTTTCAAGTTTCACAGTTGAAATTATCGTACACTGAAAATGTTGTTCACAACATACTGTGCTTAATTGAACTAATTTCCACTGAGGATCTGATTGCATACAATTAATATGTGCCAAAAACTCAGCATCAGTTAGTTGTAGTCTAATTAATCTTCTGGTTCAACTATTGAGATTACCACTAAACACTTTGACTCTAATATCAAGGCAATGAGTCTGCATTATGGCCATGTGGTCACTAAATATATGACCAAAGAACAGTTGTGACCCTTTCCAAATGTTTTAGAGTTCCTAGTGTAATATTTTGCCTGTTATTCCTGTAGCAGATGAGAGTCAATGCTAATAAGGACTTTGTCTTTCAGTTGCGGCGTGGCATAGTGAAGCCATGTCGCCTGGTCAGACCCGTTATACAGATCCCAGAGAGGTCCATGATGCACCAGGAGGGTTTACCTAAGCTGCCTGTGCCGCCCTTGAAGCAGACATTGGAGAGATACCTTACTGCGCTGGAGCCCATTGTCAGCGAGGAGGAGCTGGAATACACACGGCAGCTGGTGAAGGAGTTCCTTGAGGGTGGTGTTGGGAGTAGGCTGCAGAAAAGCCTGGAGCGACGGGCAAGCAAGACCGACAACTGGGTAGATATCTGGTTGTATTTAGCTGAATATGTTGTGGTAATCCTGGTGAGGAAAGTCCTGATTTCTGACTCCTGCTCTATGTAGCTTTCAGAATGGTGGATGCAGTCGGCCTATCTCGATTGCCGGATGCCGTTGGCGGTTTACACCAGCCCTGGGGTTATCCTGCCCCGCATGCATTTCAGAGATCGACAAGGACAGATGAGGTGAGGATCCATTGTAAGACCACAATAACTTAATTATTTATCCAAATAAACAAAACCCTACAATCGCAAAAAGAAGTTCCAGTACATCTGATGTGTGCTGCCAATTTCTTGAGTTCCTATTATACGGTTATAAAAAACTCTTGCCTAAATATAAGCGCGTAAATATAGGTTTCCCAAAAAGTTGAAATGCAGTGTGAACAAGCTCACGTAGAACTAGAGATCCAAGCCATCCTTCACAAAAAAAGAAGCGCCAGTACTTCTAATGTGGGCATGTTATGATTGATTAACCTTTGTTTTGAAGTGGGTTTTATGAGGTTCTAATCAATAGTCATTGTGTAATAGACGGTGGTCGGCATGCCCACGGTTTGGAGAAACATGAAGGAGTATAGGAAAGGAAGCAAAGCGATATACTGCTTTGGTTTAGGCTAGATACAAAGCCCCTTCAGGCCACCTAAAGATAATCAACATCAGTTTAAGTGTTCACTATATTTAGACTATTCACACCGCTTTAACTTGCAGTAAGACTTTTCTGAATTTGAACTGATTTGTTATGTCCATCTAGTAATGACACCCAAGCCATCACACTCCACCAAGTCAAACAATCACACACAAAAAAACAAAACGGTCTAGGCAACGGTAGACCAGCAACTCCCACAGCAGAATATTACTTCGCTCCAGTGCAGTAACTATAGCCTTTTTCTCTAGACTAGGGGCATGCTATATTTATCATTGACAGTAGGCAACACACTGACTATGGACAAGTACCTCATACAACCCTGCATCAAAACATTCAAACTATCCCTTTAATTGTCTTTTATAAGCACAATCATAACGTTTTACATTGTGTTGAAGGACAGTGTAAACAAGCTTCTATAAAACTGGAGTTTAAAGCTGACCTTTGCGTAGGCTTCCCTCCAAAGGCTGGCTATTTAAAGCCGTTTGGCTCATCATAGCATTGCACAGCTGTTTTTGACTACTGTGACCCGTGGGATATGCAGTGAACACAGTGGCCACATAGAGAAATATTCCAGTGAAGGCTGCAGTATTAAGTGTGTCGGGTACAGTAGGCTTACAATCTGTCAGTGAGTGACACCAGGAGGTCATATTGAATGTCATCTTTCAGAGCTGACTACTGGTGATTGAAAACTCAGGGTCATAATATGTTTGTCCATGATGATGTCTTACCACTGATACTGTCTTCTTTTTCAGGTTTGCTGCAAAACTGATCGCAGGAGTTTTGGACTTTAAAAAAATGATTGACACGTGAGTTTGTCATAAATTAATACATATATCCTAACAGAAAGCTCATTATCATTACTTCTCAGTTGGTTTACAAATCTTCAAATATATAACGCTGTTTGCTGTGTCACAGTGATACCCTGCCTATAGAGTACCTGAGTGGGAAGCCGCTGTGCATGGACCAGTATTACAAGATCCTGTCCTCCTGCCGTATCCCGGGCCCAAAGAGAGATACTGTTGTAAATTACCACAGCGGGAATACACCTATCACTCACATCACTGTGGTCCACAACTTCCAGGTACTCTAGATGGCACTGCTGTTACTCTTGTTTCAGCTATACACCTCAACAGAAATACAATTGATAAAGAAATACTGGACCTGTGGCTGTATTAAATACATTTGGCCTTTCCCCTCAGTTCTTTGTCTTAGATGTATACCACAGCGATGGCACTCCGCTGACAGTAGATCAGATCTACATGCAGCTGGAGAAGATCTGGAACTCCTCTCTGCAGACTAACAAGGAGCCTATTGGCATCCTCACATCACAGCATCGAAACACCTGGGGAAAAGCCTATAACAATCTGATAAAGGGTGAGCAATGCAGATACAACAACTTTAAGAAAGGTTTTTTTACATTAGCTTTTTATTAGCAACCCCCCACTTTAAATGTTCTTTTAGTCTTTATTATTTACCTACCTTTATATTTTAGTATTTATTTTATAGGTCTTAATCTTTTTATTTGTATTTCTGTTGTACCTATATGTTCACTTTGTTGTATTGGGTTTTATATTGTTGCATCGACTCAGTTTTACTCAGTCTTGTGTCTTATCTGTCAGAGACAAACCTTTATTTGTTTTATTTTTTTATTATCATACATGTTACCTCCTTGTGTCTATCTGATAACATGTTATATTTTGCTGCATGTACCTTTTAAATTTCTTAACAAATAATCTGAGGGGAATTTCTTGTTGTTTGTTTTTAACTTGTGATGTGTCATTTTGTAAAGCACTTTGAGCTGCATGAGTTGTATGAAAAGTGCTGTATAAATAAAGCTTTATTATTATTATTTAGAATAAATCTTACCCAATAATCTAAATGACTCTGAGAGAAGATCTGGTATGGAGAAATGCAATCTAAAAGGCTGTTTTATTTATTTTCAGATAAGACAAATAAGGAGTCAGTCCGTGCCATCCAGAAAGGTATCTTCACAGTTTGCCTTGATGCCCCGATGCCACGCGTGTCAGACGAGCTGTATCCGAGCCGTGTGGCTGCACAGATGCTGCATGGAGGAGGCGCTCGCTGGAACAGTGGCAACCGCTGGTTTGACAAGACCTTACAGGTGAGTTTTAGACAAGTGACTTTATACTGCAATTGATCAAAAATAGTGTGGTAATGTTTGGGAATTTGAAAATGCTTGTCAATATTTCTCAGTTCATTGTCGGTGAGGACGGCACATGTGGACTGATGTACGAACATGCTCCTGCTGAGGGTCCACCCGTCGTGTTTCTCATCGATTTCGTTGTGAAATTAATGTATGTGTCTTTTAATTCTTAGATTATAGTGTTTTTCCTATTTTCAAATAAGCTCAAATGCACTAAATGCTTCATATTTTCTCCACAGGCAACGAGCTGAAATTGTTCGCACTCCCATGGTTCCCCTGCCCATGCCTCAGAAACTGCGTTTTAACATTACGCCTGAGGTCAAAAGAGACATTGAGAGTGCCAAACAAAACATGAACATGTATGTAAAGTGCAATTGTGATTATTATTATTATTATACTGATTTCGCTCAATTGTATTATCAGACCTTTTATCTGACTCACTCTTGTCTTTGTTTCTTCAGAATGGTGCATGACTTAGACGTGAGGACCCTTATGTTTTCTCATTTTGGGAAAAGTGTGCCAAAGAAACATAAGCTGAGTCCAGATGCCTTTGTGCAAATGGCTCTTCAACTTGCCTACTTCAGGTAAGAAATCTATTTTCCTATTACAAAATGATGCTGGACATGGAAATTGAGAGTATCAATTAATACAGCCTGTGTATTGTTTTTAAATTCCAGGATGTATAATATTTGCTGCTCTACACATGAGAGTGCATCATTGCGAATGTTCAAATACGGGCGCACAGATGTTGTCCGTGCTACTACTACAGACTCGTTTAAATTTGTTGAGGCAATGCAAGACCCAACTAAACAGGTACTGTTAAACCACTAGTCTCACAATTAATGTACAATATAACAACACAGTCTCACGGCATTTCGTGTTATAGTCACAAAATTAATCTATTGATTCGTGTTCACCAACACGATTTTCGCAAACAGAATGATTTAAAAAGCAATGTAAATAATAACAAATTTGAAGGAAAAAGAGATTAAAAAAAATACAGATTTCAGTATTCTGACACAGAACGATTTTAGAAGCAATGTATTTCTATTGGTAGTATGTTTCGTGCCTGCACCAAATAATAACAAATTAGAAGGAAAAAAAGATGACAAAAAATACAGATTTCAGTATTCTGAGGCTCTGAGCCATTTATTTTCCTCGCGGACGGCAATAAAACTCCGACATTATACAATTTAAAATAAAAGGGTTAGGCTTAGGGTAAGATATTGAGTAAAAAAATGTTTTTATGAACCACACAGCTTCTGGTATTCCACGACCGGACAAAAAGACGTGCTGCAGGCACGAAACATACTACCAATAGAAATACATTGCTTTTCAAATGGTGTTGGTGAACACGAATCAATAGATTAAATACATTTTGTGACTATAACATGAAATGCCGTGAGACTGGGTTGAATATTAGGCATGTAAGCTGTCCTTCTGAACAGTAAATATTGTCAACAGAACACAGAGAGGCTGGCGCTGCTGCAGGAGGCCGCTAAGACGCATAAGAACAACACGTACGATGTAAGAGCTGGAGGTTATCAACATTAAATCTTTTTCTTTTTTTTTAAACGCCATCTGATTTATCAGTCGTACACATTTAACTTTTTCTTTCTTAGGCAGTTCATGGACAAGCCATAGACAGGCATCTCCTGGGGCTGAAGATGCTGAGTATTGGAGAGCTGACCTCCATGCCTGAGATATTCATGGATACCTCTTTTGCTGTGGCTGAGCATTTTCATCTCTCCACCAGCCAGGTATATTTGCATCTAAGAAAATCAACAGTTTACTATCCCTGAGCGAATGATTACTTGTTGTCGTATTTGTTTGCTCGCCCTCATCTCTCCCGTCTCCATGTCCAGGTTGGCTCCAAGACAGACTGTGTGATGTGCTTCGGTCCAATGGTGCCAGATGGCTATGGAGTGTGTTACAATCCCATGGATGAGCACATCAACATCGCCATCACGGCCTTCAACAGCTGTGACGAGACGAATGCTGCCAAGTTTGCCCGGGCTGTGGAGGATGCTCTGTTGGACATGAGAGCTCTCCTGGAAGACACAGCTACAGCCGAGCAGTGATCCCACAGCGGAGCCTGGCGAGGTGTTTGTGTCCCGCCGGGCTGAACAGGAGCTGGAACTGAACGCTGGCAGAGGGCCACGCTTACGTAGACACAGAATGTACTGGGTGTGCTGGGATGAGGGGAAATCTGTAACCAAAGGGTCGTGGGAAGTGCAATTTGCGACTGCTTTTGTAATGAGCAGTTCTTTATGGTGGAGATTAGATATTTGAATATAGGTTATATATTAACATAATTTGCTGATTGGATTTTGTGATATTTCTTTCGCTTGTGCCATCTTCATGATACTGTCCTTGTTTGACTAAAAGAACTTGAGTGCTTTGGTTTGTTTTTTATTTATTTTGGGTCACACAACAGAAGTACAGCGCATAAGTAATTTGCTGTTACAAAAACGTGTTTATTGTAAATAAAGAATTCTAAAGAAATGTTATAAAGGAATTTCAAACCTGCTCAAAATTATTCATATTTAATGTCTGAGACGCATAAAGGAATATTCAGCTCTGAAACTCCCTTTGGCATTCAGGTAGTCTCCATGAAATTCAATCTCAGCCATGTTTCCAGAGGAGTGCCACTGAAACAGCTGTTGGCCTTTAAACACATTGGTCTTTAAGACATTCATGTCCCGGATCTGAACAAGAAACAAAGAGGAAATAGTGGAGTCAATATTACATTATAACATAATATTAACATATACCATTGAAACCATGTGTTGTCCGCACCATGATGTATGTAGATTGGGAGTTGGTGGAGTTAAACATTAACCCTATGTGAAGCGCTTGGATTTTGATCTTTACTGAGGGAGGGGCATTGATGAGGACTCTGCAGGTGTGGTTAGTGTTTGCCGTTGTTGGATTCTCAAAGACGCCAGTTGGGGAAAACAGCTGAATGTCACAATCTGTGGGGCAGAGACAAAGTACACTTCATCTTAACAAAACATCATGAACGCCTGAACAGCCAAATGCATTTCAAAGGGATGGCCAGGCAATTACAGTACATAGTTCCCGATGGTCCTTGTGAATATGAAGGGGAAACAATGAAGGCCTTGAAACGTTTTATATATTTTGTGCAAGAAAATCAATTGTAGTTCTCTGATATTTTTTCACTTACTGTTTAACCTGCCACCTGCCTTCAGTAAGTGGGAAGATCACGTACAGTATAAGTGAATAAAGTAGATTCCGTTTAAACAAAGGCACACAAGAGAAAAAGTTGACATTTACCAACTTCTCAGCTATGCCTGGGAAATGTAAATGACAAGTCTCACAAAAGACATTTACAAAAACTTGCTTGTTAAAAATCTGCGGTACATCCCTATGGCCCAATGCAAAGCCTGCAGCAAATTAATAAAAGTCCACACTATGACCTTGACTTATGTCTGAAACTTTCCCATGTAGGGTCTTTACATTTGAGGGGGGATTACATTTTATTTTGGGAATCCTGCAATAATTGTGGGGACTGCATCAGGCGCTACTTCAGCTTAAAGTTTGTCACCTCCAAATGAATAGGGGAGGGGACTATAGTTAGTACAATACAATTGAACACAACAACATTGACTGCTGTAGCTGAATCAACACCACTCTGAAAATGACAACATTATGTGTCAATAGGCTCAAACATGGGGTCACTTAACTTTTACCTCTAATAATAACTTTTAATTATTTCACAAAGCATCAGCCAATCTTTTAAAATAGGGTAAATGTCAGCCTGTTGGATTGAAGACAAAAATTAACTGCATGTGCTGACCACACTCTTACCCTGATGATGGCTCTTCTTGTTGTTTTTCTGTGATTTATAGGTGAACACAACCCCGTTCCCAGGGGTGAGCAGATTCTGACGCACCAGCAGGACGTTGGTTCTGGTGGTGAGTTCACTGCCTGCTACCTGCTCGCACTTCCTCACCAATGCCAGTCGGTCAAAAAATGCAACAAACTCATCTGTAGAAAGATGCATGGAGTGATAAATGTTTGTTTGGATGCATTAGCTACGGCATATGAAATATCTTTTTACATCTTTGATAAAACATACTTTTGCTGCAGTTCAAGGAGCTAGATTCCATTTTAATATAGATGACCTCATCTAGGGGTCGACCAATGGATACCGTGCAGCGTCCTGTCATGTCTTTCAAATCCACAATGCCAGATTCTTCCAGGAGAAGCTGTCCACATGCCCCTGGTAAAGAGCAGACACTGTAATGATAATCCATCAGCTGCCTTCAGCTCTTAATGAGAATGGGTAGTTTTTGTGTACTAACTGGGTTTAGGTGTTGGGATGGTCGCTGCAGTGGCCTGTAGGATTGTGATTGCCACTGTTGGACTCGGAGAAGGATGGTCCAGTTGTTGCTGTGGTGTGATTGCAGTTATGACATCTGAGGTTGGTGTTGCGTCTCCGCAGCCGCCCATGTAGCAGCCCTGTATGGTGATGGGTTTGGGCATGTGCATACAGAACTGAGGGCTGAGGGGCTCCGGATGAGAGGGGCCCATGCAGGACACGGCTCTGGACTGGATCCCGTACCCACATGGTACCGAGCACTGGATGGACAAGGTATACCACAATAAACAGGATTCATATTAAAGAAGAAAATAAAGTGGTATAACATGCGGATTCCAATAGGATTCCAGGAACAAACAATGTTTTAAAGGACCATTAAAAAGGCAATTTCACTGTGTTTTCAAGCCAGGCCATAAATAGTTTTGTATAATTAACATATTTTTCTGAAAATGTGATAGAATTACATTTTTGTATGTATTTTCTTCTACATTTCCAGAGACAGGCAGCAATTCGTTTTCAGTAAATTCCATAACAAATGGAGATCATTTGATGTTACACTTGATGTGTTGTGTTCTTGGCACGGTCCTTTAAATGTGAATCTGACTCTATATGGAAGACACTAATAAGGCAAACAAATCGAATGATATAAAGTGTAATACCTTTTCTAGTCATTTCTCTTTGTTCTTATTTTAAGTGTATACTGATTTAAAACTTGAAACAGTTGCAAATCCTTACATTTGAGAAGCTGGAATCATGGTTTCAATTATTAAGAGATCATCAATAGTTGCCCAGTCATCTTCTGGCAGTCAATTTCCCAATTAATCAGATAATCGTTTCATTTTGACTGTTATCTAATATTCATATTCAATCCATGTGTCTCCTGTGAAATGTACCTGGCTCCAAGGTTTCACCTCCCATCTGAAGGTGCAGACCCTCACCAGGCAGGGCACTGTGGTGGCCGGTTTGATGGCTGCATGGCAGCTCACCTCCGGCACCATACTCTCCCTGCCATGGACAAACTGCACACAGGACACAGTCCTCTGAGCTACACCCAAATCGCAGGACGCAGAGCAGGGTGATGCACTGAACACCCTCCACCTGGAAGAATGACAGTGTTGTTTAAGTAATCTTCCATGAGCAAAGATGTATCTCAGTCATGTGTGTGTGTGTGTGTGTGTGTGTGTGTGTGTGTGTGTGTGTGTGTGTGTGTGTGTGTGTGTGTGTGTGTGTGTGTGTGTGTGTGTGTGTGTGTGTGTGTGTGTGTGTGTGTGTGTTTGTGTGTGTGTGTGTTTGTGTCTGTGCTTCACCTGGCTGGGCAGCTGTGGTTGTTACATGAAACTACTGCTGTGGGTTTGGGGAAGTCACTGCACTCTGAATCCTCCACCACCTCCTCCTCCCCATCTCTTTCTCCTGCACAGTACAGCACCCTGTTGGCCACCCCTCCTCCACACGTTACACTGCAGACTCCTTGCTTAGAGTGCCACCTGGTGGTTTTGAAAATGGTTGCTGCTGTCATTTTCAAGCCCTTAATTTAAACATAGCTTCTTTCTCTTGATCTTTACATAGAAGACTACCGAAATGAAATGTACTGCATTTTACTAGACATCTACAAGTCAAGAATGGTTTCTCACATGCGGGGACAGGGAGATGTGTTGCAGGTCTCATACTGAGGAGGAGGTTTTGTAGTAGGATCACAGTGGACGTCCATTACCCCCAGTCTGGTCTGGTGGTCCACACAGGAGAACCACACCTGCAGGGTTCCTACATAAGCATCAGTCCTGGGTTGACCTTCTTTGATTAGGACTTTCTGTTTCTGAGTGATGGTAAGCAATCATTTTCACTTACCATTCCCACAGGTCTTTGAGCACTGGCTGATAACAGGACTCCAGACATAGACCGGAGCCTGTCTGGAGCGTGACAGCACACCAGACTTCAGTATGGGCGTCTGCTGGTCAAGGAAAACAATGTTTACAAATGCTTCAGATTTTCTTATTAGAGGGAGATTTATTTACTTTACCTCTCCCTTTGATTCCCACCCAATGGGACAGACATCTACCACACAGGGCACAGTGTCAGGTGGTCTGATCCGCAGAGAACAAAAGCTTTGATCCACTTCCACTTCCTGACCATGTTCTGGCCGGACACATGACACAACACGCTCCGTTTCTCCTGGCCCGCACACAACTGAACACTCCCCTGGTTCTGACACACGCCATCTGTAAACACATGTTAGGGGATTTTACTTTCTCTCTTTTCAACACCTGAAAGCCTTCATTTTCCTAATGCTAGTTATATGGAGAAACTCAAATATCATTATATTTTGGACCAAAAACATTTGATATTATGAGGGCATTTTAGGGTTGACTATTGGTGCTTTTTCAAAAATATTTTCACAATAACATCATCAATTATAAATATCAGTACGTTGATATAGTGCTGGTAAATGCAAATAATAGGTCAGCTAGATCAGGCTAGAGTGTTCAGGAAATAGTGTAGCAAGCAACATTTAAAGCAAGAGAAATACACATACATGATGAAGTCGATATTCAGTCAGGATAACCATTAAATATCAACCAAAGGAAGTTATTTGACCCATGTACCTAATGCTCATCAGTAAAGTGTAGATTTACCTGGCAGGACAGTGTTGCAGGTTACATTTTTCTACAGCATTTGGAGCTGTTTTAGGAGGGCATTCAGCATCTTGGACCTCTACCACATTGGTTCCATGTTCCTGAACACATCTTACAGGATGCACTCTCTCTCCTCCACCACAGGAGGCACTACAAGGCCCAAACAACCCTGCATCCCACCTGTACAACAGTAAATTATTCATGTTTAACCATGTGTGCTGAGCTGAATGTGGAAAGCGAAAGAAAAAAATCACACAGTGCTGAGTTTGAACCTAACCTGGGGGGACAGGGTGAGAGCTGACAGCTTGTCTGGATGGGTACGGGTGGTGGAGGCGTTTCACAATCATGTTTCTCCAAATGTTTGTTGGTTTCTTCATGTACGCAGACATATTCATGCTTCTGTACACCTGTGAAAAAATAATCTATTAAATGAAACATGATTTCCCTGACTATTCAGGCAATGTTGTTACATTTCAGAAGATTACAAGTCTTAAATGCAATATTCAAAACATTTATATTAATGGTTTTTACGAGGATTTGAGGAGATTCACATAAGAACATCATGTACAGACAAGGCTATATATGAAATTATTTTTGTAGCTACTATCTGTAATAATCCAGTTTATCAGTTCGGGAGACATTTGGTGGTATTCGCAACTGAAAAGATGAGTTTAATGATTAAATGAATTTGGCATATTCAACAGTGCAGTGTCCTTATAATAAGCAGATACTGTAACAATAAGACAAAAGCTTGTCTGAAAAGGTCATTTTGTTTGTACATTAACATACAAATACCTCATCAGCCTGTGAGTTCATTATGGAATCTACTAGCAGATATTTTGTGCTGTTTTCTCTTTGTGCTTTTCTATATGACTCATAATAAACAGCCTCTCACCAGAGCCGCAGGAGACAGAGCACGGCGCTGTGAAGACCGCCCATTTGCCTTTAGGGTGGATCTCTATCAAGTCACTGTTTCTGTTAGGTAAATAGAACTGGTAGCTGATGTTCGGATTTGTTTTCTCTCCGTATTCTTTTCCATATTTGCGATACACCTTTAAAGACAACATTATAATATTGAGTATATAATAACAACTCTTGAGTGTTTTTTCTAACAGTGTGTCTATGTAAAAGATACATTTCTCAGCTTTTAAATTCTGAAGAATGTTTACCTCTTATCTAAAATAACATCATTTATGAAGATTCATGTTTTACTCTCCTCACCTGTATGTTTATCTCTTCTGTCAGCGGCCCTGGAAGCAGCAGCTCCTCCATCTCGGGCAAAAGGTCGGGGGTCAGGTGGAGGCGGTACTCTAGATGGTGGTCTTCCAGTGGGGAGGGGTGGGTCATACTCAGGGCCATGCTGCTTGTCCCGGACACAATGTACCGATCCCCAACCCTTACAGCTGCAGACACAAATGCCAAAAACAAATTCAGGTTTTAGTTCCTGTTAAGCTTTTGGTAGAAATCTCTTACAAATGTAAGCTGCTCACCCATATGAGTGAACAGAGGTGATCTGTTGACAATATGAACCTGTGTGGCATTCACCGGCAGAGAGAGGAAGGTGGTGTACTCTGAAACACAAACCACTGAATTATAACTCACAATACTCATGAAAAAGGGCTGCAACTATATTAGTAAAAACATGTTTGCGATGACTCAATTATTTCATCTAAAAATTTCCATAAGATGTGGTCAATTGATTTTCTGCCATGTGTTGAATTGTTGTTTGCTACCTCTAGCCTGACCACCAGTGTAGGAGTCAGAGATCAAAGTGCAGGATGATCCGCCTCCACCGCACACCCCACACACATCCATCACTTTCCCAGAATGCAGCACACCATCACAGCCAAACAGCTAATCAGAGACATACACATTTAAAACAGTGTGAGAATGACTGTCAAAAGTAAAGCGTGAAGAAATAAGACTGCATCTGCTTCTTCATTTACTTGTTAATTTGTTTGTTATTCTTTACCTGGCATTTCCCTCTGAGACATGTAGCTCTGGAGCCATATTGAGGCGGGCTGTCTGACTCACAGCGAGTCCCATCCACAAACTGAGAGCCCCGGCTCACTAGGAAATGTTCTCCTTTTGATTGGCACATATATCTGCACTGCTCCTCCCCTGGATAAGTGTTTCCACAATAGAAAAACATGTTATAGATAAAGTTTTTTTCCTTTCACTTATGGAAAAAACCCCCGTCTTAGGCACACCTTGTCCAAATCCTATAGCAGGGATCCAGGTGTAGAAAGAGGCAGTGTTTGGTAGCAGGTAGAGGGGGTGGAGGTCTGTTTGGGAACACTGCTCTGCCATGAAATCAAGCTGCATTTGCTCACATGGCTGTGTAGCAAGAAAAAATGAAACATGAATATTTTTTATCTTAGTCACACCACTAAGTCTGTCTTGTTATGTGAGCACAGGATAAACAGCTAACAAATATGGTCTGAGTAAATAGTATTGCCCTCCTGTACTGTATGGGGGCCCAATGTAAACAGTAAGAACTTACCTGCTGGTGACAAAGTCCAGCCTCAATATCCGGTCCCTCACAATCATCCCCTCCAAAAGCCGGTCTAAAACATTAAAGTAAAGTTTAGTCACGGGATCTTCAGCACTGACAATGACATATTTTTGCATAACAATCTGTTACCTTGGGTTATTGCATTTCCGTGTGCGGTGAGAGACTCCCCCGCCACATGTCCGGGAGCAGGGGGAGAACTCAGACCAGTTGGACCAGGAGCCATGCACCACCACAGAGGAGCTGAGCTCATTAGCGGACACACAACGCCCCTTCAGACACCACTGGAAGAGAGAAACAAACAACATTGTAAATAATCATCAGTGATTAAGAGAATGATCACACCAAAATGACTCAGTGACGAAGGAGACCTGATTAGGTGCACACTCTGTCCCGTCCAGCAGAGGGACCAGGAGACGTTTGCAGGAGCTGTCGTCATCAGGGTGAAGGTGACAGGACAGGACACGACACGCTGGCTGAAGGAAAGGGTGACCAGTAATGCAGACATGACTGGATTTGTGGTAATAATGATGTTAGGCTGATATAACAGGTGACTTACCAGGTCAGGATTAGTGAAAGAACAGGCTCTTGCAGTGCTACCAAAAGCTATACGGCACTGGTCATCAACTCCATAATACAGGCCAGGCTTCCAGTCTTGTAGAGAGCCTCCCAGTGAAGGCAGGTCCTTCACACATTCAGCTTTTCCTTCACTGGAAACATGAATACAATCTCATTGTCAGGTCCAGAGTAGAGCTAATAGCTATCTAAACTACTCACAGTATATCACCAGTTGTGGACAGTACAGGTTCTCAAGTTCTGCTTTGAGTACACATTTGGGGTACTTTAAATGCAGACAGGAAACTATTGGACTTTTAACTCCACTACATTTATTTTCTAACTTAATTCATTTTCAAGATTTATATTCCGATTAATAAAACTAAATATAATCGTAAAAAAAAGTTCAATGTATTAGAATAGTTTGGGAAAAATGCAATTGATCTTTTGAAGAAATGTCCAAGCTAACTATTTATTACTTTTACTTGAGTCAGATTTTGAATGCTGACTCAAATGGTGCATTGAATGACAATCTTATGTATTTTACTTATATTAGAAACTTCACACATAAAGAATGAACCAGGTATGAATGAGATAATAGAATAAAGTACATAAAACGCAGTGGTATTACTATTTTTATTAAAGTAAAATATCTGAGTACCTTTTCCACCCCTGTATAGTACACTGAGAGTTCCTTTACTAAAGATCTAAAAAGCTTTTAAAGGATTTCAAAGCCAAATATTACTTTGACCTTTCTCAAATTGTAAGAAGGGATTTATTTTAACACAACCTGAGGTGAACACATTAAGATATGACCTAACGTTGAAATGCCCTTTCAACAGTCCTTTAATGCATAGCTGCTCTGAGCAGGTTGGCCCACCTGAAGAATGTGAGCAGCTGCTCTCTGCTGCAGGGCGACCAGGTCAGATCCACACTGTTGTAGCCCCCGTCAGAGGCCATCATGAACCCACTCCTGCTGCAGGTGTTTCCTACTCCGTCATGGTTTATTCCAAAACTAGGTAAAAGTAAATTAAATGTGTCAAATATACTTTATTGTGTAGCTGTTAAAATGGTTAAGCGATATCAATTGAAGTTGTTAAAAGTCTGTGAGGATATTTAAAGTTCTCATCCCCTTTTGCAGTGAATGCACCTCAGCTTGAGAATCTCAGCTTAAGACACTTCACCTGAACTTGCTCCTGTGGGTATTGTCCACAGTGACCATTGCATGTATAAAAAATGTGTAATGTGTATTTGTAAAGCGCTTTGAGCATCTGGAAAAGCGCTATAATAAATGTAAGGAATTATTATTATTATTATTAATTAAAAACTATTGCATTTTTACTGTTCAGAACTCAAAGTGATTCACTCTATTCTTTTAACAAGGCTAAATGTATTCACACAATTTAATTAAATCCCTTTTCCTGGGTCTATACTATCCTAATATTTCATTAAAACTTTCCTAAAAAAAGGCAAGAAAGTTAGTATTGATTATAATGAAATTAGAAATGCGCTTGAGGAAAAATCTCCATTTAAATACAGAGAAATGATTCCTTCATTATCAATGGACACTTTTTTCTCCATTTATGTTTAATTATAAGCTTGCCTGTGACAGTCAAGGCAGCAATTTATTTAAAATAATAATGTAATTAAAGGTATATCAACTAAACACTGTCCTTGCCTTTCCTATAATAGGTACACAATTTATAGTTCTTTCCAGGAAACTTCTAGAAAGGAATTACAAATTACAAATCTGTAAAAGAAAGTGTTACCTTATCCTCAAACATATATTATATATAATGCAGATTTACTGTTGATCATGTGTGTAACTTTGCTTTACCTGTGGCCAATCTCATGAGTGATGGTGATCCCCAGGTCAAAGCCCGTGTCCTCTGTGATCACACAGCTCCATTCACTGGAGCAAGCCCCCCCCAGCTGTGCTACACCCCTGACCTGCTTGTTCCCATCAGGCAACACCAGGTCGTACCTGTTTGGGTGGGAGGGATTCAAATAAAACATGGATTGTTCATTCATTCAAAAAGGTAAAAAAAGCATCAATATACAATACAACCAGCTTCATTTACCACACCTTGTAATGTATAACAGAAGATCAGCGTGAAGTGGGTCTGTATCATTTGAGGGGTTTATCCTTCTGCCCCAGTCACAAACACTTCTGAGAGATGAGGTAATGTTGGGAGACATTTGGATCTCTGGCTAGAAGCACAAAAAGAACAACAATAATAAGGTAGGGATGGTAAAACATGGAGCAACTGGGTGTGGGGTTATTGTATTGCAAACATCCAAAGGCACTGTGGATAACTGCAATAGCTTAGTTACCATCAATTAATAAATTAAAAAAGGGTTAGGACTAGATTACTGCAACGTACTAGGCTACTTCTAAAATATGGTAATTGATGAACTTGACTCTACACTGAACTTAGAGGGAGCTGCTTTTACCTCTGGCTCTGACAGGATGATCATGCGGACCAGGTGCACCCTCATGTTGGCACCCAGGGCCATGTCTCTCAACAGCTCTGAGGCCTGGGGGGAAATGGGAATAAAAGTCAGAGGAACATATATCAGGAGGATGTTCAGAGTGTAATGCGATTGCAGTGCACTCTATAATATGTCTTATCTGGTTATGAAAACACTTACCAATAGCCTACACTTCTTGTGTTGCCTTTTACTTAACTTCATTAGCTATGCATTGCCCTTAATTTCAGTCCTATAGCTGTAAATAGTGAGGTGGAGTATTACATTTACTCTTGTTGTATTTTTGTGTTGTGACTATTAAAATGTGTTAATTATAATTTCAAGATGATAAGATAAATTCCCTTTTAGTATTTTGCACCTATTTAACTAAATGTACCGATATTCATTTCATTCATTTTAAATCAAAATCCAAGCATCTTTTCTTCCTGTAAAACAAATTGGACGTGCGTTTAGTTTACATAAGCTTGAAGTTACACATTTCTGTTTCTATTCTTCTGTAGCTCCATATACATTTTTAGAAGCTCAGTCAAATATGTAGTAGGCCTATAGATATATAATAGATCATATCTATCTATGATTTAAATCACTCTTGTAACTTTACATTGGTCAAATATTCAAGATTATTCAATTTTACAGGTGTTACAGGCTAAATAACCTATATTAATGTTGATACTCTAACTTTTGATCACTGGAACTGTTAGCATTTTTTCCCAAGGAGCCCTATTGTATCTAGGCCTATACTTCACTCAGTGGCGGTTCTAGAACATTTTACATGGGGTGGCAAAGGGGGGGCAAGAGGTCATGCCAGGGTGGCATGGGAGGGCGGACAGTACGTGGTATTTTACACTGTATATAACCTATTTATTGTTAATTCATGCCCTAACACAAGTGTTCTTAATGCACAAGAGAAACAAGGTGTTTAGACAAACAATCGGGTGCCCTTTGAATCCCCCAAGCTTACCTCAACCATTTTAAATGAAAGGAAACTACAAAATGTATTTGAAAGCAATTAATTAATGGAACAGGTTGTTTTGCATTACAACAAATGTGTTGTCTTAGTATTAGACAGACATATTTGCATGTGCTCACTAAGCATTATTACATATTAATTTAATATTAAACAAATCAAAATGGCCAATTATTCCAAAATGTTGCTGCTAATATAATCATATGCTTGTCAATTTTAACTGATCAAAAATAAATTCTGAAAAAATACTTGAATTATCTATGAAATTGCAATATTGACACACGTCCCTCAGTTTGTTTCAACCCTGTCACGCCATACCATTTACTCTCCTATTAAAAATAATGGATCAGTCCATGTGTGATCTGCATTGAGGGAATTACATCACAAAAGTGTCAGTTTCTTCTCTTACCTATATTTCAGTTTTTGTATTTTCAGATTAAGATTGACATGCTCAACATTTCAACTCTGTTATATGAATTAATAATAGTAAATAATTGTTTATTACAAAATAAACAATAGTTTTGCAAAATATTACAATTTTGTAATGTCCTTGATTTCCATGTGGTGCCATATCTTAGCTAAACAAGGTATCATGGCTACTTTTTGTCAAAAACGTCAACCCTGTTAAATTTTTTCAAGTAAATTCCTAGTAATTATTTATATTTTGTGCCTGAGGTGGGAAAATGTAAGTAGTCCACTACCAAATGTTATGACATTTTTCGAAGATATAAAGATCCAAAAGGCACCCGATTCAAAGAATACTCTAATTCTGCATACTGTAAGTACTTAGTTATAATTAAGTACACAAATGACATGACCCATCTCTTCAGAGAGCTAAAGGTGACCTGTGCAGCAACACATTTCAATCAATAATTGTCAATACTAAGAACTGCTAGATTGTGCTGCTGTAATGGAATATGTAAGGAGAATAAGAACATACCATGTGGTCCAGCTGGAGTTTCATCTGCCTCCTGATCCCTGCCTCTGGCCCTCTTTCTGATACTTCATCTTTATTCCTCACATATATTTATTCTTCTTCACTAATGTCTTCATCTCCTCCTCTTCCTCCTGCTCTGACCCTCCTGGTCTCTTCAGTGAACTCTCTTTTCCTTTTCCTCTTTCTGTTCGTCCTGATCTCTTCTCAGATATGTCTTTTTGTTGTTGTTGAATCACTCCTATATTCTGGCCTGCAAGAGTCTACTTGTGAAAAGCACTGGTACAAATGCTTGTATAACTTTACACGTTAGGGCCATGTAGCCTAGCTAATAAGTCAACCCAGTCTCACGGCATTTCGTGTTCACCAACACGATTTTTAATCTATTGATTCGTGTTCCCCAACACGATTTGCAACTTTTTTTGGTGTTGCACAGCACGATTTTTTTTCGTGTTGCACAGCACGATTTTAAAAGCAATGTATTTCTATTGCCTGCAGCACGTCTTTTTCTCCGGTCGGGTCGAGGAAGACCTGAAGCTGTGTGGTTCATAAAAACATGTTCTTACTCAATATCAAGCCACAATTATTGCTTTTATTTTAAATCGTATAATTTCGGACTTTTGTTGCCGTCTGTGAGGAAAATAAATGGGGCTCAGAGCCTCAGAATACTGAAATCTGTATTTTTTTAAACATTTGTTTCCTTCTAATTTGTTATTCTTTTCAAAATAACACACTGTTATTTACTCACCAATAACACACAATTATCCTTGCTTTTATTTATTGGTTTAATTCCATAATCTCGGGCTTTTTTGGCGTCCGTCAGGGACTGAATTTAAAAATAAAATATCCGGAAACAGACGTAGGCCTATAAGGGACATTTCGAACGTCATTGCGATTGTCAAACTTTCTGAGTTTAGGATGGCCGAAGACACTACACTACCCATAATCCCCAGCTATCGTTTAGGACTACAGTCCCCGTAAGGTTACGCAGAGCGTCAAACAGCTGTGTGAAATGGAACGAAACCACGCCAGACTATCCAAAACTGGAATCGAACGCCCCCCCCCCCCCCCCCAGAACTACACATGCTGGCTATTGTGTTTCGCCAAATGTGCTATGGGACGTCTCTACTGAACGTTTTCGTTTTTCCCACAATTAGAAGTTGCCAGTATTAAACACATTGGCGTTATCAAATGTAAAACTATTATATATTATTTATTATAATTAATAAATGGGTGAAAATCGCTATATATACCCACATGACAGCTCATTGTTACTTTGTAATTCTACTCCACTACAATTCAGAGGTTAACCTGGTATTTTTACTCCACTGCATTTATTTGAGTTACTTTGCAGATTCTGATTAATGATGTGAAATATAAACAACCCTTAAATCAGACTTTAGTTACACCTGAATAAAATTCAGGTAAGGTGATTGTCAAGTGCCAACAATCAGGAGAGATATTTGATAGTTGGTGCTTGAGAAGACTAAACATGTATCTGCAATTGACATGAATGGAAACGAGTAATAGAGTATATTCATTACTCGTTATTCTCTACTAATAGTTAATTAAAGACTGTATATTATGGCTATTTTGCACATCCCTTTCAAGATTTTCAAAGGTTTATTGACATATCATATACACAACTACGGTGTAGTTATGCAATGAATGAAACACTTGGGTCACAGGTTCCTCAACAGTGCATTACAAGACATCTATAAATATGTGTGAACCTCCACCATTAAACTGTCATATTCTGCACATTTCTTATTCTATCTACATACATAAGAGTATAATTCATATGTATAATATCAGTTAAAATAAGTGCTTCAACATAGTTAACATTGCAGGAAAGCAATATATTAGACGTTAAGTACTTTGTCAGGCTTAATATTTATCTGTAGATAGATACCCCCAACGTTTTTTTTCTTATTTAAAAGAAGACCTTAATCTGTTATTTAATGTTTAAATAAAGGTTAATTCGTTTTTCTGTTTTGCACCTCCTCCTATTAATATCTTTGTACATGCTGCACTAAACTGTTTTATTGTAGAGATCACTTTATAGTATCTTCTTGATTTTTTATATTCTATATTTCTATATTTATACTTTCCCCCTACGAAAGTATGTACTCTTAATATTTTTTTAATCAAACACAATAATTCAATAACGTGCTTTAACCACTAGATGCACACAAGGTACACAAATGTTTTCCGGATTTCATATCATATAAACACCAAATCCCAGCATGCATTGCGGCTAAAACATCCAATAAGCGAGTTTAAAACCATAGCTGAGGATCTTGGGTAATGCCTATGTCCGGTTATTTTTATTTTGAAATTCAGTCCTTGACGGAGGCCAAAAAAGCCTGAGATTATGGAATTAAACCAATAAATAAAATCAAGGATAATTGTGTATTATTGGTGAGTAAATAACAGTGTGTTATTTTGAAAAGAATAACAAATTAGAAGGAAAAAAATATTTTAAAAATACAGATTTCAGTATTCTGAGGCTCTGAGCCCCATTTATTTTCCTCACAGACGGCAACAAAAGTCCGAAATTATACGATTTAAAATAAAAGCAATAATTGTGGCTTGATATTGAGTAAGAACATGTTTTTATGAACCACACAGCTTCAGGTCTTCCTCGACCCGACCGGAGAAAAAGACGTGCTGCAAGCAGTAGAAATACATTGCTTTTAAAATTGTGCTGTGCAACACGAAAATAAATCGTGCTGTGCAACACGAAAATAAATCGTGCTGTGCAACACGAAAAAAAGGGGCAAATCGTGTTGGGGAACACGAATCAATAGATTAAAAATCGTGTTGGTGAACACGAAATGCCGTGAGACTGGGTTGAATAAGTAGCATATCATCAGAAAGTATTTATCAAAAGCACACAGGCAGCTGTGTTTGGATACAGTTTTTACGGTAAAGGATGTATCCTGGTTTCATTGATCTGGCCTCATTGCTGTGATGTGTAGTTTACGTGGATTTAATAGTAGGCTACCGCATAGTTTAGCAAAGTTGCAACGCTGTCTGCGTAGTATTTTGTAACGTAACGCCCCAAACAGCGCCCATCTGTTAAACGCTATCGATTCAAACGGCAGTGTTTTATTAATATTTAGTTTCAAGCTCTCGTCCTTAGTAAAAACAAAACTAGTGGAAAGGGAAATGCTCCCAGGGGAAGCTGACCCATCGGCGCTGGGACAGCTCGCTCCCTCTCTGCAGCTCTGTGAGCCGCGGTCTGTGTGAACGCCGCTCCGCAGTTTAATGCAGGGCCGTAGCTGCGTTTTTAACGGGCCTAAAATGATATTTAAAATTATTCACTTTTAACTAATGTAATGCTTGTTTCGTTGCTTGAGAAGCTTGTGGAAATAGTGTAGGTTTGTTTTAGTACAGTTTTAGGGAAACAAAAGTTAGGGGGGCAGCTGGGGGGGCAAGACTCTACAGGGGGGGGGGGGCAGCTGCCCCCCCTTGCCCCCCCCCCTAGATCCGCCCCTGACTTCACTACAATGCATGTCGCATTTTTGAGTAAAACAGAGATTAATAAGTCATGATAAACTGTTATGAGAATGGAATAAACGAAAGCATTAATTGTTGCTATGTTGTAGCTAGGCATATCAAATAAAAGTTTGCATTTACCTTAACTAATCACCTAGCACAGGGTTATATGTGGATCAAACACACCCACCTTATGCATGTGACCAACAGGTGCATGCTGGGCCTAGCTGACATGCTAAATGCTAAAATGAGCGTCTTCCCGTGGACTGCTGTGTTTACTCAGAAACGTTAAACTTCATTGAAATATATAATGACTTTCTGTTGTTTGACTGGCTGGTTACAATATGGATTAAGATTGAAGAAGCAGAGTGAGCAGTTTGTGGAGAACTTCCCCGAACAGATTAGCAAAATGCAACTCATACAGGTGGGTAGCCTACAGCAAACACTGATGAAGAACTCTCCAGAGGACAATTTCAGCTTTGCTAGTCAATGTAGCGAGTGTTTGCTACTTTGACAAAACTGTACTAATTTTTGCTTTATTGTGTGGGTAGTGGCTGTGACCGCCGTGGTAGTTTTGTTGTTAATACATCTCTGCTTTCAGTTTGGGTAATTTGTTCCTCTTCTCTAATAAGAATTGACATCTTACTTAATGTATGCAGCTTTATAATGCTTGTTGCACCCGTTCCCAGTGTTGTCCCACCTTTTATTTTTGTCAAATTGATATTAAGTTGTATGCACAGGCCAGAAAGTCCCATCTAAGGACAATTAATTTGGACATGAGAGCTCTGAGGTGTAATGTGCGTAAATTGGCATTTATTTGTATCCTAAATGGGTGTTTTAATTAAATAGGTCTATCAGCATACATTAATTTTCTTAACCTCCCCCTTTCTCTTTCAAAATGTAAGTCAAGTACATTTACTTGCTCTTGAGTAGAATTCTCTGCATTTCGATCCCTGGTTTCATTACATTTTTCCATACATGTGATTTAAGGCACACAACTAGCAATCTACAGAACATAATCAGGTTATTGAGTTTTGACTTACAATGTTGAGGTTGGTGAGGATGTACCGTTCAGTATCCTGCTTGTGGACCTGCTGGACATCAGGCCCTACAACCACCAGCAGTTCCAGATGTGTGATGTCAGGCATCAGAGTCGACCGAGGCAGCCGCCCACTCACTGTGAATAGGAGAAAACAAAGTATGGACATACAGCAGTACTCTGCTTGTGTACCTGCAGTTAACCAAGTACTGTAAGATGGTGTTACTGTATCACCTTCAATTACACCATGACAGAAAGAAGATAGTTCTCATTGCAAGCAGTCTTCAAACTGTTGTACTTTTCAGCCACACAAAGACATACCTGAGGTATCAGGAGAAGAACCAGGAGAGGAAACTATGTCTCTTTGTTTAGAGGAGTGATGAGAAAGCTTAAAGAGGACACAAACAATTTTTTTTAGATCCCTTTACAAACGGCCACTTTAAATCAGTGTAACCAAACTTAGATGTGTGGCCCACATACTGAATGAGAACACACAACTATTTTAGAGCTTTTGTTTTCTTAGTGTCTGCCATGTAAATCCAGTAAAACATAGTAATGACTCTCTGCTGGTTGGGGCTTTTCACAGGGTGATAAACTGTTTAAAGTTGAAGAGTTCAATGTACTTTGCAGTAGCAGGATCACTCACCGCAGTGCTCCTGTTCACCCTCAGTTTTCCACCTACCTCTTCCAATGGCGAAGTCATTAGAGCGGCAAAGCCAGGCCACAGTAACAGCAGACAGAGCAAAGTTGTAAAAAACATGTTTCCCCTCTTCCTGTGTGACGACCTGCTCTGCTTTAACACCAGGACAATATGCGATCCTGCTCTTCAGCAGGACAGAGCCCGGCCAAGAGGATAAGAGTAACGTCTGTTTATGTAAACAGTGGGGACAAAGTTGATGAGTGGCGCACGTCATATGCAAGTTTATTTTGTCAACGTTGGGATCAATAGGATAGCTCTCATTGTTTTTTCTACTACTAATTTGTGAATTTTTTTTGTCTTTCGTCACTGAGCAATGAAAACTGTTAGATTCCATTTTAGACTTTTTGTTTTTGAAACATTTTGATCGTGAGAAAGAATTGGGCATGGCAGCTGCATACTTTTCTAAGTCCAACTTTAGATCAAACCAGTATTTATATTTCCGCCTTTGACATCTGCAATCACTACTGATTTTAACCCGATTATTATAAGTAAAATGTTTTGTGATGTTTCCTTTTTTAGCCATTAGAGGGCAGACATAATCCTCTGGTTGAGCTGAAAGACACTGGGAGGGAAAGGAAGTTCACACACACTCTTCAACAGTGTAACATAATAACATCCCTTATATCCATGGCAGACATAAAACCATATCTAATTCTTAACTGCCTATTTGGATGGTGGAAGATTTACAGAGGAAACAACAAAATGGAAACAGTAAAGCTGAGATTGAATAGCTTTAGCCTTTCGGTCACGGCTGTTTTTGGGACCATGGGACCTTTTTTGCAAAATGTTACTATTAGTAGTGGTTTTATTTTTATTATTTGTTGGCTGTCATGTCAATGATAATGCTTTCTTTGCTTTAGATGAAAGAAAAAAATCAGGTTGAACAGGCTCCTACGGATTTGTCCTACTTTAAACTCAGCTTGTTTAAAACATGCTCCTCCTACTATAATAATTATACACATGTCCAGAAATGACCCAACTGTATTTTCACCTTTTCAGATAAGCTCTGTTTCACCCATCCTGTCTGTCTGCTCCTCTCCATCCTCTTCCTTTCAGAGGGCGGATATTTTATCTCCATAAAGCTAGGATTCAAGTCCCATCTGCTGTTAGTCTGCCAGATATCTGCCTGTTGTCAGTCTGAATTAACAGCTGGGTGTTACAGCCATTACACCACCAGTGCTACTCCACTAAAACCTCAATGCCCTGCTGGATTTACAGAGCACAACAGACTGCGATAAGTGTGGTTGGATCCTCATACCCATGTCTGTTTGGAAGAGGGTAGGGATTGTATATTTATGATGCTCAATTATATATAACTAGCCATATGGGATGATCAAGTGGGTACAACAGACACCTCAGGAAATGTATCCCGGTTGTAGGTAATGACAAATTAGGAACTTGCTTGGAATTAAGTAAATCCTAGAGAACTGATAATGGATACGGCCACATTTCCTTTCCACCTTTGTTATGATAATTTTTGTCTCAATATCCATTATTATTATTATTCTACTAAACCTTCAAACTGGTATGTCACTTGCCACAACCCTTTGGATAGACATTTGGCTAACTACAGTTTGTTTTGTGAAGCCCAACCTCTCAGCCTTTTATTTTGAGATGCATTTATGTAGAGTGCCTTGTACATACAAGTATTCTCGTTCATCCGCTGCCCTTTGTCATTCCCTCCATCTGTCATCCTGTTGAAAAAGATGTATGCTTGCAAAAACTATAAATGTTTACTATTCTTTTTATGACAGCCCATCAACTATCTTTTTATTTTGTTTGGGTTTTTTTGGAAGGTTAAAAATTAATGGTAGTTTTATTGTTTTACAGAAAATGATTTAGTTCAGGAGCTGGCATGAGAATCTTGCTTTCTAAGCACAGAGTCACAGCCTGAGAGAAAAAATAATCAAATATCTAGCTTTACTCTTGCAAGTCATCAATTGTCTTGTTTAAATTTAGCACACCTTTCTTGTTTTGACTCATTGAAGCTGCTTTTCTGTTGGGAATGGGACTATTTATAAAACTGCCAGAGTTATGGATCAGATGTTGATTAAAAGTTACATAAAAATATCACCACCAAATAGTCATAACATCCGTTTTTCAAATATATTGATGTTTCTCTCAATCATTATGTGCTTTGTTTATGAGCAACTCTATCTTCAAGTTCTAATACGACAAAACCCGTAAACTCCAGAAAGATGGAGGTCTTTACTCCCTTCTTCTTGTTTTTGCTGCTAATTAAGACAAATATTGTGTTGATGGTGTATTGTCAGCACTAAGATGATGACTTTTCAGCCTGTAACGCAATACTGAAGGTGCTAAAACTCAGTGGCACTACAAAATATACAGACATTTTCCAGGCAGTGATTTTCTCCAAGTAGTCCCCCAGCTGTTTTAGCACATGTCAGCATATCATTGAGATGTGAAGAAGCTGCAGGGACATTTAATGATGCCCCTGTGATGATGAAGATTTAATGACAATGCTGTGTGGTTTCTGATAAATGAACAAATCTCTGCAAGTAATTCCACAAAATAATTTTCAACGGAAGTGCTTTTTTTATTGATGGAAACTCTTCACTTTCTAATGTTTATATGCATATCGGAACAAAAAAAGAATGGAAACCAGTTGCAACTTTGACATGTTTCAATGTGGATGTTTTTGACTGAAATGTTTCACATTTTTCATCAGGAGGAGCCTTGACATATGGAACAACCGGATAACCGTTTCTTATAACCTACAGTTTAATGTTACTTAGTGGTTAGTGGTGAACTGCGCAAATAGTGAGATCTGGAGTTGAAAAAAAAGTTCTAAAAAGAATCACACCTGGTTTCAGGTATATAGCATAACAAATAAAATAAAAACATTTTACCATGGTCTCTTTCTCCAGTCTTCAGCCTTGTTCCCTCTGGGACTACTGTAACTGCAGTGAACTGCATAAGGGCCTGCAAGGAAGGGCATTGAATACAAAGATGGCCAAGTCACACATCCTACATTTAGACCTACTCTCCAATAAATGGGCCGAAAGCTCCTATTGGGTTGTGGAATGATGGTGTAGCTGTGTTAATGGACACATGCTATTACTAAACAGCTGTCGACATGCAGCTGACTAGACCAAAATTATAACAAGCTGAACATGGAGGTCTAATTGCAAAGTTTAGACTCAAGCATGAGCAAGAGGAATAACAAGCATGAGTAACAAAGTGATATATTGAGACTCGTGCGGAAAAATTTGATGACCTAGCGTCTCTTATCTAGCATAATAAATATCTCAATACGTGTGAAGACTGCAGAACATTAATCTTTTGCTTCAGAAATCTGTTTGTGTTTCCTTCTCCTTTAGCAAATGCCCTTCTATACCTAAAATATGTGTTTCTCTCATTCCCTCCGCTGGCCTTCTGCTCTCCAAATCAGTAATTATGGTAGATTACCTCAACCTGAATTAACTTGCTCTCTCAATTTGACATCCCACTCTCAAGCTTTTAGACTCTCGTCTAGAACTTTCATGATACCAATGGATTTCTTACTGTATATCATGACTACCTGAATAACTATTACAGAAGTACTTTGAAACAACTTGTATTATATAAAACTCTTGAATCTTAAACAGTTTAATTGTCATTTTTAGCCTGTGAAAAAAGTTGTATAATGTATTTTGTAGCTCTGAAGGGAGCTTTTGAAAGTCTGAGAAAATGATCCTCATAATGCCATCATGTGGTGATAATGATGTGATCAGGGCAATATAACTTCGGCTTGAGTTAACATTTTTTAATGGACAGTCACATGTGTTAAGACCTTTTGGGTAAAGGAAAATGAGGTATAACTGAATACTCTTGAGTTGCATTGTGGGAATTATAGTGTAGTGAGCTTGGTCCTTACTAAGTAAACAACTCAGAAAATCTCAGCTAATCCTTCTGCATTCATTTGTAATCTCTTTTGATTCCTCCAACAATAAAAGTGTATGCTTAACTCCCACATAATCCCTTTATAGTCTGAGATTTAGATGTAGCTAGAAAATGACATCCTACGTCATTTTTAAATAATAGACTATGTTTATAATTTAAAGCATAGTTACCAGCCTTATAAATGTAACATTACAACTCTTGAGTTTTGACATTATATGCCATTACTAATTATACAGCTCTTGCTAAATATAGCCTTACAATAAGGGCCACTTTTTAAAATAAACTAGGTTTCAAATGGATAATAACAACACACACTTGTGCAATGATTAGCTAAAGTCAAAGTGCCTCCGTTCATCAACCATGTGAACCCACCAGGGTCGGCTCTAGAACAAATCAAATGGGGGGGCAATCATTTACCAAGGGGGGGCACATACTGCTGTCAACAACCAACACACAAACACCAACGCAACTTCAATTAAAAAAAACATGCTGTAAAGTTTATTGTCTTTCACACACATTGCAGGGGTGTAGTGCTATTTTATAGCGCACCTATGACCTGTGCATACATGCACGGTTGTGGCACGACCACCAAAACAGAAACATATGGACATAGGCCACCATATGAAAAGTGTGCAAATGTATTTAGTATCCTATCCATGTGAACATGTTTTAGGTGGGGGGTGGACCTAACCTCCTCTAGGAGGGTCCGGGGGCATGCTCCCCCGGGAAGATTATTTTTAAAATATTGAAGTTAAAAGCATCAATCTGGTGCACTTTGAGAGCAAAATGAAGAGATCTATGGATACATCTCTCAACATCCATATGAAACAGAACTGTACACAGATTTACTTTTTCTTTATGGATATTTTACTAATCACTCCCCTTTTAAATGGTATTCTTGTGTTATTGTCCTATAGTAGGTCATACCCGTTTTTCATTTATTGTCTTATTCTTTAATAACTATAATGATCATATAAAGGTAGCCTATTCCTCGCAAATACTTGTTTACATAAATGGTCACCAAACCGTTTGAGACCCACTGAGATAACTTACACTAAAGTGAACTATCTAAACACTGAGAGTCCTTTACCTCACTGAGCGGACGTTATAAGATCATCTCAGTCTGACAGGAGAGGACTCTCCTCCACCTTGGTGTAGAAACAGCTCTTTATATCCGTTAGCATAGCTAGCTAACCAGATGCTAACAACAATATTCCACGTTACCGCTCGCGCACTGACAAAATGCGCTCGTGCCACACACAGAGAGCCGAGCTTGAATGAAACACAGAGACCCATATACTTGTACTGTACTGTATATCATATTATTTTCGATGGCTTACTGTATAATCAGTATAACAGATGGACAGATCGCCACTGGGCTTTCATCTAAACACACAGCCACGTAATGATAACAAAACAAAAGTCGGGGTCATTGGTCAAGCAACACACCAATCAGAGAGCAGCAGTGAGCACACCTCAGGCTGTGTTTCATATAAAGAATAAATAAAGAATACAAATGTGTATTCTTTATTTCTGATGTATTTCACACAAAAAACTTTTGGTGGAAACGTTTTAACTTATATGATTAAAAAAAAAAAAACGGCAAAGTGGCAATAAGGCTTGCCCACCCTGCGTTGGGGGGGCACAGTGACTCATTTGGGCATGGCCCGCGAATGACCCCCCATGACGCCGACCCTGGAACCCACAGCAAAACCCTATATAGGCTATTCACATCATCAATGTTGGGCATACCATGCACCTAAAAGTAGCCTACCACATCTGCCTCTAACTCTATGAAAATGAGATAATAGAGCGTTAAAGAGTGAGTTTGGGCTATAACCATTATGAGAGGGCACGTGTAAAGGCTCTTAAAGATGGATACAAAGAGTCCCTGTATGACCAGTGGTACCGCGACGTCAGTGTCTCTGGCACGGAGCACGGGTTGGTGGGAGCCAGCAGCAGCAGCAGCAGCAGCAGCAACGTCACCCTCTGACGCCGGCATCAGAGCAGCACGGGCGGCCATCCACGCAGCAGCGAGTCGCTCCGGAACTCGGCGGAGGAACACAGCTCGCTGCTTCGGGACTGACTTTCCGCTCTTGTTACTCAGGTAAACCTCGAAGTCGCATTACATTGAAACGCTGTCATTCATTTCAAGGTGAGTTTTATGTGTTTTTTTTAATCTTCACCCAAAAAGTAACTGCGTTTTGGTAACGACGACCGTTGCGAGTACAATGACTAGCTCCCCGCACAGGAGCTGTTGTACTCTGGCCATAAACTGTGTGTTGCTATGGTAGTGCCAGGCAACGTCCCACCTGCTGCTGCGACTGTGTTTATCACTCCTGTCAACCAAAACAAACATAAATGAATTGAAACAAAGATTATTTTTCATATGTGTTGATTCAGCCATTCACTGTGAATGTAAGTGCGTGTGTGTTTGAGATACGCTGTTTTCACAAGACTTGGATGGGATGAATAATTTCTTAGACCTTTTAAGATGTTGCAGCCATTTCAATTATGCTCATTGGAAACAATTGCCTTTATTATAGCCTCTGCACTTCCATTTTTAACACTCGTCTTGCTCCACATGAGCGTTGCCTGCAGCTTTGGCAGACAGTAGAAAGGTCCTTGCCTGTTTTCAGTGTTTTTTCAGTCAACTGCGCACATGTGTCTGTTGCTTAGGTGATGCTTCCCTTTGTAACTGCTGTGTGTCTGTTTATTTCCATAGTGTCAACACCTATGACGAGAAAACTTGACCTAACAAAAGATGGTAATTACAAGCGTGGCATTCCTCAGATGGACATCACTGGCCATGGACATGAAGACCAGATGTTTGCAGTAAAGGTGCTTATTGCATACATACAGTAGTTTTCTATTCAGAGGCTTAGACAGCTGCTGTAGTTAGGCATCAGTGCATGCCAACGCAAGGCCCGTGATACAAAGAAATGCCATCATGTCTCCTGTCTGCTGTGACAGAGGAGGAAATCACTATCCCATGCTGTCTTGAAGAGAGGAAGGAGGGAAAATAATGAGTCAGAAAAGAGAAGAAAGGAAACCTGTCACTCTTCAAATCCGCCTTTAAGCTTGGTAGACAGCTTGCACACTTATTTTAAGAGCAAGACCAGATCTTTTTTCAGCTGGCATCTATGGAACCATGCTGAGCCCTTTGGTTTTTGCTATCCATAAATTATTGCTGTAACCTTTTTACTTTTTCTTAAACTTTGATGTCTCTATAAATTCCAGGGTTTAGAGTCAACGCTTTAAGTGAGTGCGAAGTGCAGCAGGGTGCATCCAAGATGAGCTCTGTTCATTGTGTTTTAGTTTACACACACCTCCTTATCTGAGCTGTCAAGAGGGAGGATTCTTTTCTACAGTAACTTACCCAGAGCGAGAGAGATAGTTGTGGGAAAGGAGGGGTGGGAGGAGTGAGAAGAACAGAGAATGACTGTGAGGGAGTGAGCGTGCTTAACCCAGCCACCGAGTGACTCTTGTATCCAAGGACGAAGGTAGCAACGCATCTAAACGCCACTCTTCGCCCACAGACTGCGATGAAGAAATGAGGGGATAGGCACTCAGCGACGCTCATATAGACTTAACAACCTGCAGGTTCTTCTTCCCAGGGCCCCTGTCTGGAGTACCAGGGCTGACGACTGAGCAAATCATGACTGCAGCAATAGTGAACCACACCGAATGTTAGACTCGGCTTGAATAGGAGTTTCCTTTGCTTTCTTTTTTCTCCAAAAACAAAAGCGAGTTTTCTTATTTACCGGTGTCATTGCACCTAAACTGGCCCACATTTGTGTATGTTTTTGCTAGAGGATCAGACTGGAGAGGAGGGAGTAACAGGTTCTGCACGCCAAGGTGGATTTGGAGGTGTGGAGGAGAGCTGAAGATCATGGGTAAATCAAACAGCAAGCTCAAGCCAGAGGTGGTGGAGGAGTTGACAAGGAAAACCTACTGTGAGTGCCTTCACGTCTTTTTCTTTGTTTCCTTTTCAGCTTGTCGTTATGAAGCAAATCAACCTTCTTTCTAAAAGTAAAAGACCATACAGTGTGTGAAGGGAAATCAAAATGTCTCCCCCCCCCTGTTTTTCTTTCATGTTGTATAGTAAATAGCGCTGCCTGCTGGGATGTATCGGGATTCTTCACCCGTTTCCCGTTATCGACAAAACAGAGCTACAACGAAATGTCAGCTGGGAATTGGCTCCCTGTTTGATTTAAATTTACATTTAAATGTTGTGTAGCAAATTGTGATTGGTGAAGGTCTTGCAAAAGTTACAATCAGCATCTTTAAATCATGCTGAAGGGATCTATGAATATGGAGATTCTGAGTTTGTATCCGCTATCGAGCGAGGGGTTCTAGAGATTAGGGTTATTTATCGACGATCTCCCGCTGAACCAAAATGTTAAAGCAGATTTTTCAATCAAGTTTGAACAGATTTGACATTTATAATTACTACTGCAAACACTATATTCATAATTTGCGTTGTTATTTCTGGAGCAAAGCATTGGTATTATTATTATTTAAGCAGTAGAGTGTGCAGGTGTGGGTGGGAGTTGACATCCATTGCTGCTTAATGACAGTGCTGTTTGTGTGGTGGGTCTCTCCAGCAGAACCATGGTTGGCTGATGTGGCAGGAAATTGCTGTGGAAGAAGATTGGGCTTCGTGCTGGGCTGGGCTGTTAGCGGCTGTCCTCTACTCCCTCTCTTTCTCTTTCCCTCTTACCCTTTCGCCCTGTCTCCATCGCTTTATCCCCTAATTGCCCTCTTTGAGCTGGGAATGGAATAGTATAATTAGGATCTTATCTGGTTAGCATCGCTGAGAGGGGCACCAAGCTTTCTCTCCCAGCGTGATCATTCTCCCTTTCTCTGTTGTTACTCTATCATTTCAGATTTCCTTCATCCTGTTGCCTCTTTCTCTGGCTCTCCCATGAGAAGCTTTGTCTGCCATTTACCCTTAGATGCATAAGTGGGTCTTTTTGGACCCGGTGAGTTGGTTTTCTTGAAGTATCTTTGTAATTACATTTTTTTATCATTTCATATTCCAGCTATACCTCAAAAAACATGTTTTGGATATCATGCCATTCACATTTTAAATTAAAATGTTAAGATATTGTAGTTTTTGTATTACTACCCCAAGCTTCCATAAGTGGGTCAAAAATGACCCGTATGCATTTTCTATGGAATCCTATGGGAACCTTTGATTCTTATCACCTGTGGCTGTCAGGAATACATTCACTGTGGAACACACAGACTACATCACAAGTGACACCTCTCAGGAAGATTATTTTACACAGCAAGATCTGATACCTGTCAGTATAATAATAATACATTATATTTGTATAGGGCTTTTCAAGGACTCAAAATCGCTTTACAATATAAGGGAAGGTTAGGGTGGGGGGTAGGACTATCAAACTTGATCAACCGGCATGGATTGACGGGGGGGGGGGGCTATGAGTAGACAAGAGGAGAAGAGATGAGTTTTGAAAAGGGACCCTGTGAGGGTCTCAGAATAAAATATGTTCAAAACGTTTTTTTTCAAAATGTGAAAAAAATGTCAAATTGTGAAACAAATGTTTTAACCAAAATGATAAAAATGGCATAAAAACACATATTATTCTAATACGGGTCCTTTTAGACCCACTTATGGAAGAGTGTAGGGTCCAGTCACTCGTGCATCTAAGGGTTAAGTGTACTCTCCTTGTTTGGTTCTTTGACAGATTGGGGACTTGGTGAATTTCTCAGTGCCTATGAGTTTTTCTTTAAGTGTTAGAGGAGGTAGGGTGTTTTTTCCCTCTGATGACAGGGAACTAACAAGGCTAGTCGAAAAAAAATAAGTCCTGTTTTAGTTTAATAGAAGATATCTTTCTCCCTTTGTTGAAAGATAAAAAATGTCCCCATCTTCATAATAACATGTTGATGACCTTGCACTTTAAATAAAACACCATTGAGCTGTGCCAGGGCTGTGGCTAGCCAGGGTTATTAGAGGAAAGTGTGGGAAGTGGTTGCAAAATCCTCACCTGTACTTAAAGAGAGTGTTTAATTCAAACCATAAATAATTTTCCAAATTACTACACTACATGGAAATACCAGCCACCCTATTCAAATGTCTGCAGGATGTAGGCTAGGCCCATGTAATGTAAGTTGTCAAAGCCATGAAGAGGCTCACATTGACAGAGTGCAAGCTGGATTCTCGCAGAGCCTGCAGGGTCAACCAGCTGTATGGGCCCTGCACTTTCCTGCAAATGGTTTATTTCATTATTACCCCTTTGCCTCGGACTGGAAATATGTAATAAAATGTCTTATCAAATTGAAGCCATGGTAAATTGCCTCACTTTCGGACTTTTTTGACCAATTGTATGGTAGCTTAGCTTGGATGACAGTCGTGAGATTGACCGTGACATTTATTGTGCAGGAAAGGGTCACGTGACTGGTTTCCTGGTGACATTCTGAGTAGAAAATTGATGCCGAGACACATGCAGCTGAAGGCTATAACTGGCCTCCCTATCGATAGCCTCTGTATGATTATGTTCCATTGCGTATACATATGAAGTGATCTCATGGTGAAACATGTTTGTTTCCTGACCACAATATATGTTTGTGTAGGCTAATTGATCATTTCATTCCCTATAAATGTCTTGTTTGTCAAGAGTGAATGTCTTGGAATGAGACTCTTTGTTTCCCCTGTGTACGGTTGCAGTAACCATGACTATGAGTTGCTTAAGGTTAAACATTACTGTAGAAGATATTGTTGATTAACTAACTAACTATTTGTATTTATAAGGCTATTGCTTTGCCCCTGGCCCAGCGTAAGTGTTACAATAGACAATATTTAATCCTCAGACTTGCGGTGGCATGCTATCAGAAAGTCTCTCTCATAGGACCAACTAGTCAAAATAATGCTATTGATTTACAGCCCTTGTTTTCATTAGCAAACCCAGAGGCCAAAGGGACGAATATTGCTGTCGTTCCTTGACAGAAAGTGAAGAGACAAGAGAAAGCCATTGGGGATCGGTTGATTAGATACTGGCAGATAATGGTGTTTGAGTGGGCATTCAAACTATTATCTTTCTTAAATCTGTGTCTGAACTTCCCTTTAGCCTTGTTTGTCTTTTGTGGCTCTCTAGGGTTAACTCCCACTGGTCCTCTACTATCCAGGCCAGCAAAAAAATATTATTCATTTCCTCCGATATGACTAATTATTCACTCAGCTAAACAAGATGTTACACCCTTGAGTAGTTTTAGATAAGTGTTTCTCAAACTTTTTCATACCAAAGACCACTTAACTAATAAAAAAACACTCGAGGACCACCTAACTTCACAAATATCCAAAAACACATCGTTTTTTCAAATCGCCTGAAGATGGTACAAACAAGTGGCAACATGTGTGACGAAGGTGTTTATCTGGGCTTTATCATGCAATCGAAAGTGAAACTTAAGCTCGCTCCATTGCGGAGATATTCCCGCGAGAGTGCGAAAAACTTAAATTTATTTATTTATTTCAAAATGTGAAATGTTACCAATATACTCACGGACCACTAGGGGGCGCTCACGGACCACCAGTGGTCCGCGGACCACACTTTGAGAAGCACTGTTTTAGATGATATAATGTGAAAGGATTGGGGCAAAATGATTAACAATGCTACTGCTTGGCTCCTCTGTATCTAATAGCAAGCTCCTTTTTTTTCTAGGACAACCCAACTTTTCCTCTGAGCTAATGTCACTCTCTTTTTCTCTTACAGTTACAGAGAAAGAGGTGCAGCAGTGGTAAGTATGTGCTTTCATTTTTAATGACATTTTTACATGCCTGATGTGAAGCTAGTCATATATTAGCAATTGTGTTTTTACTGGCATAGCTCTCTGTAATCAGGAGGGGTCTTCTCTCGACCCACTTAGATAAAGGATTTTTATTTTGTGCGTCCATAGATAGTGTATTTATATTTGGTTTGATCGTTGATTTTAAGCAACCTCCCTCACTCTGCCCTGAAGACAGATGTGTTCTTAAAATAGAATGACTTTGAAGCCTTGCTGAGACTGAATGACTTTGAAGGCTGATAACACTGATACAAACATTTCCATGATGCATTCCTCAACAAACATGTATGCTCTATTAGCAAAAGGATGACCGATAACAGAATAATTACTGGGGCTTAAGGTTGTTTCATTTTCAGGTATGTAATCACTACATGGCCACAGAGTTCATTAGTAATCCTCTCTGTTGGATTCTTTACCTCAGTGCGACCTGCACAGGAATCATCGTGCAGAGGTATGATCCCTGGCTGTATATTTACTTGCATATATCAAAATGAAACATATGTATTAAACCGAGACCCCTCAGGTCAGGAAAACACAGAGCTGTGAGTAATCATTACAGTTAAGGTGTGAATTTCTGAACGTTTTTCTTTTCAGAATTTCATAGCCGCCAGCACAGGGACCCACTACGTCTTCATTTACAGAGTTGATTCAAGCATGAGCGTAGTCATGACTTTTGTTTGCGCTCTTAGGCTATTGTTTCTTTGGAAATGAAAGGCAAAGAATAGAGTATATCAGAAGAGAGAGCACTGTAATAAAATGATCACTCTTCCATGTTCACATTTCAATCCTCCTGCTTGGGTTTTTCCCAACCTAATTCTGCATGCATGAAAAGATCTCTGTCTCCTGATCTAGACTCTGCTCGTGTACCCTGTTAGGGGGCTTACAGGCGGGGGTACACACACTGCCACACAGCAGCATTAGATATCATTGGGCATTGGCAGGTCAAGATCTTAGAGCTGGCTTGTCACTGGGGCTGACTGAGTGCACTGTGGCGGAATACCCCCCCCCCCCCCCCAGGCTGTGCAGCCAGCTAGCTCAGCATCACTCTCCCTGTTTTTCACAGCAAAGTTTGCACGAGTCCTCACTTGAAGATCAGCGGCAATCAACACGGCTGAGTGTGAAGGATGAGAGGGAATTGTACCAGGGGAAATGCCAGATGGCGTGTAATTAGAGCACAGGCGCAGACATAGAAGAATTAGAGGGGTTAGATAAATGCCTGTGTCGTGCATTAAATGTGTTCCCCTTCCTAATTCTCCTCCAAGGGACAGCATTAGTGTGCTCCATGCTCACCTGAAATCAATAACAAAATGCTTTAGCCCAGTGATGCTCCTGCCAGCTCTTCTGCACAATTCTATAGCAAAACCCCACCATGGTAGATGCCAAGGAGAAGAAGCCAGTGCCAGTGATAAATACTTAATCTTCATGCTGGCCCCCCAGTGTGGTCCAATGCACAATGTCACGTCTGCTATGTCCCTGCAAGTGCAGTGCACTATTTCACTGCTTCGAGTACATTCTGGCTGTTTATGTGTCTTAGCACCAGTGTCACCAAGCCATGATGTGTGATTGGCAAATGAAGGTGATTCTGATTCTGACTCTGACAAATAGCTGACTCTAGGCAAACATGTTAACACTGCTACAGCACCTTTACTGTACCCATGTACTGTAGATGTTTACTTTTGATTTTGTAACTCCACTGGTAGTATGTCAAATAGTTAGCCTTGTGTATGTGTGATACCAAATACCTTGTTAGCAAAGTTTTGTGATAATCAACAGGCTGAAGATAACAAATAATTACTTGATGAATGAAAACTCAAAGTGCATTGTAAAAACATTGACACTAGCTCAATCAAGACTTATAATAATATTGTAAAAATATAAATATATCGGGTTTTAGTTGTTTGTTTGTTACGTTAAACTTAAAGACTTGATTTGATTAAAACATCTTTAAGATTGATTGATTTTTTTTATTTGAGCTTTTATTTTATAATGTAAAGAAAAGAGCATGCAGGACACAGGAACGTTTTTTTAACATTATTTATATCAAAAAGTTGAACTCTTTACTGTTACTTAATGTTACTTATCAGTAAATGTATAGTCTGATAACGACACCAATATATATCTGTGATGAGCATATCTGTATGTCAGGATAAACATTTCATTTAAATGTTGTCTGTTTTATAAAGGAACAATGTCTGATATTTGACCCCTTTGAAATGTTTAAATAAGAGCAATATACCACTCCTTGTAAGCGTTCCAGTTAGTCATTGAAGAATTACAATGTTTAACTCCTTTTTGTTCCTTATAAATACTTCATGTTTGGCACTAAACAACCCTAATTTGATGTATTAGTCTTATTATTATTACTAATTACTCCGCTATACTTACTCTAGAATAGTGTGTGAATGCATGTTTTAGTATCTTAAATATGTTACAGACTTTTTTATTTGGTTGCTTGATATAATATTGCATAGTGTCACTATAAAACACACTAAATAATTCAGGAAAGCTGCGTAGCCTTTGGATTATTTATTGTGTAATTTGCACTGAATACTAATTGGATTGTAATATGCATGATATGTTAGCTAGGCTAACATTTCCCACATATTGTATCTCCAAATAATTCAAATGTGAGAATGACATGGTTGTGCTCTCTTCTTGCTGAACTGTTTCTCAGCTGCTCCTCAAAGCGTCTCTTCGACTAGTTGGAGCTGGCTTCATTATCTCCAAGGCAGATTCAAAGTAAAGAGTTTTTAAGAGGAGTGAAGAGTGAGAGTGGAAAATATGTTGTACTGGCCTCCATTCTTCAGAAGAACTCTCTCTCTCTCTCCGGCCGTAATTACAGCCCAGCCTTCCTCTGAATCACAGACGAACATGCAGTGCTCCCTTGTGCGTCATTTTTTGCTGCTGATCAAGAGCAAAAGCTTTTTGAAATTCTTTTTATAGAGTGTTATTATTTCCTTGTTCTCATACTTTTCATCAAGCCTTTATTTTTGTAAAGGCTAACACTCTCTTCCTCGTTCCTCAAGCTATTACAGTGTAGCTAGACTTTGAGGCTGTGGTTTTCCTTTTATAAAAACAAACTAGGAAGCCTTCTAACTCTGAGTGACTGTCCTTGAAATTGCTTATGAGATGCTTCTATATTTAGACTAATAGAGATATTACATTTCTCTCCCAGATATATCATTTCCAGCAGCGAAAGGAATCTCAGACTTATCTATCTGCTACGCATATTATCAAAGAGGACTATAGAGTAATTTGATTAGAGTTAACCACTCTGGGCTTGCTATTGGATTAGGGCGATCGTCTTCTCTGTGAATGAGACAAACGGCTTTGCACTTTACCTTTTGGATCTTGCACCATCTCTTTAAACTGAGTCAGAATTCCCTGCTGCAGGGATGAGGATGTGACTTCTGTCTGTTGTCATTGTTGTATAATCCTGTCTTATTTTATATATTTTCATCACATTATATATTTTAACTCTTAGTCTTATGTCTTTCTGTACTTTATTATTCAGGTACAAAGGATTTATTAAAGACTGTCCAAGCGGGCAGCTGGATGCTTTGGGCTTTCAGAAGATATACAAGCAGTTCTTTCCTTTTGGAGACCCTACGAAGTTCGCCTCCTTTGTCTTCAATGTTTTCGATGAAAATAAGGTTAGTGAAACATTTCTTATGTGTTATTGTGAGGCAGCAAGAACATCTTCTATCTTGTGTTGGTTCACAATGACAAAGAAGTAGTTTGACCGTGGCTGTTTGTCCAGGGTTGCTGCTAGAGAAGGAACATGATACAAAGTGACAGTGTCTGAGGATAAAGCTAATCTAAAGGTAAAAAGAGGAAGAAGAATTCTTTGTGCTACTGTTTTGCTGACGTTATTTATAAGAACTGCAGGTTCAGTTTTTAACAGAAGGATTCAAAGGGCATGTTTAGTTATTTCAGTATGTAATAATTGCCATTTTTTGCTCTTTGTATTTTTATCTGCTATCTTTTTTAGTCACTATTTAAATAAAAAAAAACAGCACAGTGGATTCTGTTTTATAAAAAAACATGAGTCAATAGTAACACATAAACGTAACCCTTCATTTCGTTCCAGAAATCAGTTTCCTAGAGAGCCAATTTATTTTTCAAGAGGTGCCTGTATTTTCGTATTATTCTACGTCTCTCTTACGTGGGAGCATTCTCTAAGGATTTGATGATGTGATGAGAAAGCACATTTTAACAAGGCCAAACCGTTAAATAAACATTTGGCTAGGGTAATCCACCTACAACACAGCTGTAGATTATTTAAATGGTGTTCAGGAAGGCAAACTGTCGATGAGCAGCTCCTGGGATGCTGGCAAGCCCCTGGAGATTTATTGACTCAGTTAAGAGGCTTTGTGTCAGGAAGATCAGACAACCCGTCCGTCTGATGTTTATCTCTGACCTTCGTTAGCGTTCTGCTCCCCATAGTTAGAGTATTCATTGATCTTAACAGTATTTATGACTTATGTAATCAGCAATGCATGACTGCAGCATTGTCTGGCTGGACAGATGTCTGGTGGAGATAGAGAGAGTAGACCCCTGGGCTGTGAAGAGCTCTTTGCTGTCTTCTGAAAGCACAACCGTTAGCTGAACTCTGTCGCAGGTAGGAAGTTGTAGCAGAAAGTCAGAAACGTTTTTTGTTGTTGCAACCAGTCCTTTAAGATCCGGTGAGAACATGAAGTCTCAAGGCTCCGCTAACAGAACATGGATTTGTGCATTGGAGGAGGAAGTACTGAGATCTTTTACCTCAGTAAAAGTAGTAATACCACCGTGTAGAAATACTATTACAAGTAATATCCTGCATTCAAAAGAATACTTAATTAAAGTGAAGAAATTAAAGCATCCACATTTCCTTAAAGTGCAAAAACAAATAATGTTGGAGAATATTAAATACACATTTAGAATATTATACTTATTGATGCATCCTAGTGGTCGTGACTTTGTTGTTGCAACAGGTAGAGTAGCAGCTTATGTTTTACTATATATAATGCCGGGTACCTTGTAACATTTCAGGGAAAGATAAAGTTATCGCATAATACATAAATGATTTTCTTTTCTTATAATGAATTAGAATCCTCAATGTAACTAAAGTTTAAATGCTATACCTGCCACTTAATGGTAGTGGAGCAGAAGTACTTAAGTGTTTCCAATTATTTCTACTTTGTAAAGTACCTAAAAATTGTACTTAAGTACACTTGTACAATGTACTTAGTTACTGCTCACCACTGAATTTGTATGCAAGATGGCTTGTTACATCTTGCATATAAATCGCTTTAATATTGTGCCTATTAAAGCGATTACTTTGAGTAAGTCTAATGCAGTTGTTTGAAGCTGGGGGTCAGAACTTCAGTGAGTCACTCAGAATTAGCCACTTTAAGCCACTTAAAGCTCTGGTTTTACATCTGATTGTTATCCATGTTAGCAGACGGTTCTCTCCGCTGCAGTGTCCTTGCCAAAGAACGCTGTAGGCCACCATTTTGGGAGGTTAATTGGAATTTCAAGCTTCTGGTACGATTCAGAGCATAGGATTCTCACAAAGCTCAGAGGGATTAAGTGACAGAATATTTATACCTTGTCCAACATAATTATCTGCCATGTCCATTCACAATGCAGAGTCATTGAAAAAGAGGTGACATTTCTTTGCCACAAATATCCAGCGGATGGTTGTGTGTGCTGTTATTTTTTGGACATTGAGCCAGGTGCATCCATCTTATTAATGACCACAGGTGACATATTTCTGCCTTAGGAAACAGCCAGGTGCAAGGCAAAAATAGAAGCTGAGTTGGAGCAAGCGTCTGGCCCCGTTTTTCAAGGACATCATGAAAGAACGGCAAAGAGCTGATGAGAGGACAGCTAGTGTGAAGCAAGATGCTCATTTTGTCTTTGGGCCATTTCCTCTCTAATGTTCTCTCTCTCTCTCATGCTACCCTGTAGGATGGACGCATCGAGTTCTCAGAGTTCATCCAGGCCTTGTCAGTGACCTCCCGGGGGACTCTTGATGAGAAGTTGAGATGTAAGAAGATGCAGTCTCCTCCCCTGTTTGTTGACATTTAAATGACAGGATGTAAGGCTGACTGCCATGTATGCATATGTATGAGGACTGTCGGTTTCTTAGAGAAAAGCAAATAGGGGATTATTAACAAACAGTAGGCACATGCAACCTGGGGGTCATGACCCAATAGGTTGATGCCCTTTCTTGAAAATCAAACACTGTGGAAAAAAACTCTCAACTGTAGATGTAACTGTACGTTTGGTGTGATCATTATTATGTGCACCATTATTACTGTCAACTTTTGAACTGAAAAGCAAACATGGAAAGCTGCTGCCTGTCTGTTCTCACCACTTCCAAATATAAAACAAAACACTATGTGCTTTTTATTCCATGAAAGATCTAAGTTTAATCTTTTGTTTTACATTATGAAGTCACAGGGGGGGAGGGTTCTTATTCTAGTAAGGCCTCACCTGCCAAAATATTTATATTCAACACCTTTCTCTACACAGGGGCTTTTAAACTTTACGACCTTGATAACGATGGCTACATCACCCGAGACGAGATGTTAAACATCGTAGATGCCATATATCAGATGGTGGTAAGATGGTTTACCAGATTCCAAAGCATTACATCAACATTTTTTGAATGGTACAACATGTAATGATTTAATATCTTTAGGGGAACACTGTGGAGCTGCCAGAAGAAGAAAACACACCAGAAAAACGAGTGGACCGTATTTTTGCAATGATGGACAAGGTTAGTATTTTTACATTTAAGTATATAGTCACAGAAGACTTAAGTGATAGACAGTGATATTGCACAAGTTGTTGTACCATTGATGTTACTTTCTATCGTGTTACGTCAATCTTAGCCTGTTAAAAGTGCAGTAAAGATTATACATTTTCTATAAAGAGGACTGAATCTGCCTTTGTTGCTACCCTCGGGATCCTACATGGACACTGTTAAGTTTAGAGCGGTTAGCTGTAGCCATCACAGCGTCACTAACACCGCCTGCAGTCTATAAAACATCATATATAGTGTCCACCACCACTAGCCCTCGGTGCTAATGCCCATTCACTCAGCCCCAAGAATCTACTCTGCTTTAGTGAAAGCTGAGACGCAGCCTTCATGGGGGTGTGTGTGTGTGTGTGTGTGGTGTGTGTGTGTGTGTGTGTGTGTGTGTGTGTGTGTGTGTGTGTGTGGTGTGTGTGTGTGTGTGTGTGTGTGTGTGTGTGTGTGTGTGTGTGTGTGTGTGTGTGTGTGTTGTGTGTGTGTGTGTGTGTGTGTGTGTGTGTGTGTGTGTGTGTGTGTGTGTGTGGCAGCCCACTACTGCCAAGATCAGCCAATTGGACTAGCTGTGCAGCACAGCAGCACTTATAGTGATTTGTATTGGCAGAGAGTGGCTACCATCCAAGAGCACTGAACCTAAGATCAGTCCAACAGCACAGAAAAGCAGCAACATTAGCTTAAGAGGCTTTTTTGCCCCCTGCTGGTAAATGCATGTTAAAGCATTAAAGGGGCTCCAGTTTTATCTCTTTCTTATGTTCCTCTTTCAGAATGCAGACGGGAAGCTGACTCTGCAGGAGTTTCAGGAGGGTTCAAAGGCAGATCCTTCTATTGTTCAGGCATTGTCTCTCTATGATGGGCTTGTGTAGGAATGTAAGGTGAGTGGGTTTTATTGAGCGAGTAGCTGCGTTCGTCTGTGCATGGCTGATTAACAAGCCCAGGTCCTGCTTTAACTCCAGGATAATATTTTCTTAATCTTTATTCAGCAGAGCAAAGAATGAAAAAGAAAGGAAATTCATTCTGTGGGCTGTAACCAAAGTGAAGAAGCCACGTTCAGCTCTCAGTTTGTTCCTATGAATTATTCAAATGGCCCACTTGTTTGCTGGCAATCAAATAGTCTTGTAGTGCAGAGTGAGGAGCGAGACAGCCCTCCGCTCTCACTGCTTAATGTAATGCACCGGCCGCTGCCAATTGTTGCTGACATCCTGTTCAGCGTTTTGTCAACTGCGAAGTGAGCTCTTGAAGACATATTTCAGACAGTAGCTCTGTTTAGTGATTTCTCCTGCATGCTCTGAACACACCCATGTTTGATGACACCCTTTTACTGTCATCTATTCACTGATGATCATCTTACAACTTCTCAGATGGATCCAACTCAGCATCCACAAACCAATCCAGCGCCATCACACCTGCAACCAGAAGAACTTTTAAACTCGCTCATCTAGAAGTGGACTGCAAACTCTTTGTGGCAGTAGCTGTTCATCTACATTTCCAGTTCGGATTGTAAACAAGTATATCCTCTGATGTGACAGAGAACTCAGCAAAACATCAGCAAATCCCTCAGTCATTTATCCGTGCTTCTACAGATATGTTGCACCGCCTACACCCTTGAGTGTTGTGGACTGTGTGCGAGCATTTCTTCAAACGCAGTGTTGTGATTTCCCAATGCACAGTCCAAGGAACAAAATTCCCTTTCCGAGATGTTAGTGTGCGTCCTGTTCACATACTGTCAGTCTGAGGATGCATGTGAAGCGCTCAGAGGAACTGTCCTGCTGCTTCACCACCACATGGAGAGACTTGAAACCCGGGAGAATCTGGCAAAACGTGTTACTTGGTGATCATTTGAGCACTTACTAAAAGTTACAAAGCAGTATAGTGTACAATGTATAATGTAAATAGAATGGTAATTTATTTTCTGCTTTGCTGCGTTTATGGGAATTTCCTCATAAGTATTGAATGAAGTTTTATTTTTTATGAAAGGTGTTGAAATGTATTGCACTGTATTTCTCATTATTTGGGGATTTATTTTCTTCAGACGTTCAAAAGTTTCCTTTTTCTTGAGAGAATGGGGCTTTTATTTGAAGAAGAGCGTTGAAGGACCCGGAGGTTACTCTGGATTATTTTACTATGTTTGCAGTCTCTGCATCCTATTGTGTTTTTATGTCCCTGTTAGCACTAGTGTCTGCAGTGTTGCACAGCCACATCCTGAACGACATGACCGGGCAACACAGCCAATTCTCACAGCTTACATCTGAACTGAGGCTCATTATTTCTTTTGAGAGCATCGTACTCCACCCTCAGCACACACACAGCCTGGTCATTGAGACACGGGCACAAACAGACATCAATTCTGGTTGTAAAGCTTTTTGCGAGCTCTGTTGTTGCAATTGTCCAGCACTCGTATTTGTCCTGTGAGAGGCCAGAGCATGTGATGATGCCTTTTTTCCATTGTTGGATTGTTTTATTTACAGCATTAAGATGTTTTATCAGCTTGACTGATTTTATGCCTTATGCAAATGATAATTTACTAAATGATAAATGTCATTTACCTGTTGATTAACGGTATAAGAGCACACAATAAAATGCATTTAAGTGGCTGACTTTTCTATTGCTTCATTCTTAGTCTTTGTACTTCATTAATATTTAAACGTTTTTATGTTCAGGTACTTGGATAACGACTGTTGCTCAAATATGCATTTCAAAACAACTTTCTTTATGATCCACAATTAATCACTTCTGAAAACGATAATCTATAACTTTTACTAATTGCATTGTATCCAACATTGAAATAGGATCAGTATGGCCTTGAGCTTCTTCACTTATCGAAAAATAATATAATTTTGAGCGTGTGTCATGTTTTGAAAAACAGAACCGTGCCTTTTTGTTCTGTGATAAAAGTCTCCACTGATAGGTTGTGAAAAAACAATGAGGTCCATTAATATGAGTTAATGAGGCTCCTTGGCTTTAGAAGCTGCTAGGCCTGCTCAGAGCTGCTTTCTGTTTCTTATCAACAGGGACAGACATATCAAGATGAGGAGGGTCCGGAGCTTTGATCACAGGCTGTTCTGTGCTTTATGTCCATCTTTCATTCACTTTGTATTTTATAGGAGTTTTAAAAATAGCATCTGTAACTAAATGAAGAGAGCAATCGGCTTCTTGTCTCAGAAATATGCTGGGTCCTTACAACTTTTAAGAGGACACTGAATTATTTACATTTATAAGACTAGAGCTAGCTTCCTTTGTGAGGTCTGATCTCCTTTTGAAAATATCTTTCATAGCTAGACATAAAGTGCTTGTGATGATATTTAATAATAAATAACATATTTCAATCCACAACAGCTAATATATGCAATAAAAAAAGGAAAGTGTCATTTCTGAGTGGCACGCTGAGCTATTCTACCCATTCATATGTCAAGGGGAGATTTCTCAGCGTGTGCTATGTATAAAATTAGATTGGTGTCGGAGGGATATAAATGAAGGCTATTTATAATAACGAGGCTGTTACTGAGACAATGTTCTAGGCATGTCCACAATCCAGGCTCCAAACACCGCTGGTAATGTGCGCAAAGCTGTTAAAAAAAAAATCGGGTCTCTAGGGGCCCACCTCGATTACGGAGAAAATTGAATAGAAGGAGGGGGTGTGGTGTCGGATAGGGTTAAAGCCTGGAAGTCACAGTGGGGTCGAGGCACACACACACACAAATCAGGTTGGGTCTCAGGAACCTTTTAATACCCATCTCCGCCCCCGTTTGAAGCGTCAGAGCACCAGCTCTCCAGGGTCTCTCCAACACAGAGCCAGTCCGCACGCTCCTCCAAACTTTACGCACCGATGTACTCCTGTGGAAGTATTTTACTCTGGATTTTGATGTCTTTCAGCTGAGTCGTATTGTTCCAGATATATTTTTCAACCGATTGGAAGTGCTCCCAGACTTTGCATTGCTTTGAAATCTGAACTTTAAAAAACTTTCTTCAACTTTTAACATTTTTATGTGATTCGCCTCATTCCAGCAGACAGATGCAGTCAATCTAAATAAACATGACCGGTGTCTTATTAAAGTGCCTAGTCTTGGCGCTGTGTGTCGGCGCGCACAGGCTCCTGGCAGTCCCCCGGGCTGAGGAGGATGATGGTTCCGGTGACAGCGCCTCGACCCTGGCCTTTGTGTTCGATGTTACCGGCTCCATGTACGACGATCTGAAACAGGTGATAGAAGGCGCCTCGCGGATCCTGGAAAGGAGCCTGAACAGGAGGACCAGACCCATCAAAAACTTTGTGCTGGTCCCCTTCCATGACCCAGGTACTCTTTGACCAAACAAACAAAAGTTACACAAAAGCTATTTTATTATGAATGTGTAATCTTGAATTTGAATGTTTGTGTATTATAATTATGAATTACTACAGCTTCTAACAAATCAGCCACAATTATCAGATTGTTCTGCAACACAGCAGCATGTAGCCTACTTGCAATGTGAAACTAAACATGTAGTTTACATTGCCACTGATTATGACATATATCTGTAGCTGTCATGTGTTTGGGTTAACTTGAAAAGATCACAGCAAACTGCTACACTAGGGGTGGGCGGATCGATCCCAAAATATCGATACCTCCGATATTACGTTACGTTTCAAAATATCGATACTAGAGCCAATAGGATCGATACTGTTATACTTTTTTTCTCGTCTCCTCTACTCGTCAATTTCTTCAAAAAACTATGTGCAGACGAACACAAGTATATGCTCTTTTCTTCTCTCTCCACTGCTGTCCTCTTCTCCTCGAGGCTCCCTGCCTGAACGCCGATTATCAAGCTGACTGACAGCAGCCAGCAGGGCAGGACAGCAGCAGCCAGCGACTCGCGAGTGCAACACACACACGCGCATGATGGCTGAGAGAAAGAGCAGCGTTGTGTGGAGCAATTTCACAACTGGCCATTAAAACTTAGCGAACTGTGATGTGTGCAAGAAGACAGTTCGCTACTTTGGCCACTTTGTATTGTTATTTTTCATGTTTGCACTTTAAATTTGCAAAAGTAAAACGTGTATTTGTCTATAAAAACTGTCCTGTCTTTATTCATGAAAATGAATTCAGATTTAGTCTATTTATGATGATTTCAGCTCAAAAATCATGTCATGCAGCTCTCCCCTATATGAAAGTACATAAGACGCTTTTCATTAAAAAAAAGTATCGGTATCGATATCGGTATCGGCGATACTGGCCCTGAAATACTTGGTATCGGATCGAATCCAGATTTTGTGGTATCGCCCACCCCTATGCTACACAGCTCAAAACCTGTTGCACATGTTGTAGCCCTGATCTGTCTCAGTAGAACAATTGGAACAAAGAGCAGCACATTAAACTCAAACTGATAAAATACATCAGGAAAATGTGTGTGTGAGAGTGAGGAGTGTGTGGGACAGGTACGTCTCTTCACCCCAGCATCTGCCCTCCTATGGGAAAGCTGCAGCTTGAAAATAAGAGTGCTCTAATGGGGGAGGGTGTTTGAGCACTGATGAGAAGCATATGCTGTCTGCTTGTGTGTAATTACCCCACTCACCCCCACCCAACCCACCTCCATCCAAGCCTCCGAAAAACCCTCGTAGCCCCAAGTTGAGCCAGTCGGGGGGGGATGGTTTTCAACACTAACACCACACATTTTGTCTGTGTTTAATGTGCCCTGCCCTTGGGGACCTTGTAAACTTCCAAGATTGCAGCGGTGGCTGACAAAGAGGCATGACAGTGCTGTCAGTGTTTTACAGTCACTCATGAGAAGGAGACAAGGACTTGAAAGACTTTGCTGTTGCAAAATGGATTGTGAATGAGTAGGAAATGTAATCCGCTTGACACATGTCTGCAAACTCAGTATCATTAGTCTCCCAGAGAGGCTTGAACATTTTATTTGACAGTCAGAATAACAAGCATACACACATAAATTGTGAAGCTCCACCCTACCTGATAAGGGTCTTCTCTGAAGCAACTATAATGAAAGGCCTGTGTTTATAGCCAGCCGTGTTCTGTAACAAAAACAATGTGTTCTCTGTGTATTGGTTAATGTTTACTGTTCCTGCAATTGGCCCCACAAGGCATCCAAGAAAGCGCCAGGCCCTGACAGGTTCTTATCCATCACACTGGAGTCTGCTGCTGCTGCTGCTGCTGCTGCTTCTGCTGCTGCTGCTGCTGCTGCTGCTGCTGCTTGAAGAACAGTAGAAAATGCTGACTCCAGCTGCAGAAAATTATCGTCATCCGACATTTGGCCAGATTGTAGTGATTTGTGTTAAGCAAAGCCCGAACATTGCAATTTTGTCAGTGCATCAATCTACCCACTCCTGTGCCGTGTGGTGTTTGTGATTGAATATTCATGTCTTGCACAAAAGATCCCTCTGGTCCTGATACGTGTGGCTTATTTGGACTTTTAAAGATGGCTTATTTTCTGCTCAAAGATGGAGAAGGAACAACTAAATCCTTTGTTCTGATAAAGCTGTTTTTGTTTGAAGAGTAATTCACAAAAGTTAAGTCCTTATTTGCTTGAGATAAATATATTTAGGCATACACTATTGTGTAGAACATGATTTATTAGGCTGACTTCATTTGGATTTTGTTCACTAAGTCTTTGTTATGATATACATTTCCGTCCTCACAGATATCGGCCCTGTTTCCATAACCACAGACCCAAAGAAGTTCCAGCAGGATCTGCAAGAGCTGTTTGTCCAGGTGGGAGCATACATGAAATCATTATTCTATAGGAGTGGGATTAATGTATTCATCCACACTAATCCAAGTGAAAGTGAGCTAATGTAATGTCTACCAAACAGCAGCTACTGTGGGAAATGTCATGATTGTAAAACGTAGTAAGACTGGAATCATAAAGTTATTTATCTGACTAAGGAAGATCAATTTCATAGACAATATATATCTATCAGGTTAGACTGAGTGTATTTTGTTGAGCTGTGTGTTTATTTTGTATCTAAATATATGTTTTAATATCTAGAAAGCATATTGTCTTATTTCAAAAAGCACTTTGTGTTTAAATTACTGTTTCAATTCATTATTTGCCATTATTTGTGTACCCTTTAAAATGGACATGATTCTGAAAGCTGAGCTATTCCAGAGTTGTTAACAGTAAAATCAGTATGAATGCAGTTTAGAATATGATATTTAGCTTTTATTTCCTCTGGGAGTATTTGATTTGTAATTCTGTCACTTAGGGCGGGGGAGATTGTCCTGAGATGAGCATAGGAGCCATAAAGAAAGCCTTGGAGGTTTCTCTGCCTGGATCCTTCATCTACGTGTTCACTGACGCCAGAGCCAAAGACTACCGCCTGAAGAAAGACGTTCTGCAGCTGGTGCAGCTCCGCCAGTCACAGGTACGGCCCCAACGTGGACAGGGGTGTGAGGGTGTTCAAGACATACTGTACATGCATCAGTCCATTTTACATTCATTCTTCTCACAGTATGACAGAGGTTCTTCCTTTAATACAGCTGCAGTGTATAAAGCTGTACAGAAAACATGTAAGCAAGGATTTCATTTGGTTTTCTTTCCCACGATGATGCTGGTAGGGGGAAGTCATTGCTCACAGACTTTTGAGTTTCTCTGCATTCATCACACGCTACA